AGATGTCTGCCAATCTTTGTTGTGGTTTGAATCTAAAACGTTCCCCCTAAAAGCCCATATGTTGAAGGCTTGGTTCCCATTCTGTGGTGCAAATGGGAGGTGGTGGACTCTTTAGAAAGCAGGACCTAGCGGGAGGAAGTTAGGTCACTGGAGGCATGCCCTTGAAAGGGACATTGGGAGCAGGTCCCTTCCTCTCTCCTTCCCTCTTTCTCTCTCTTTCTTCATCTGGCCACCAAGCTCTTCTCCCCACTGCTCTCTTGTGATGCTCTGCCTTACCACAGGACCAAAAACAACAGAACTAACTGACCATGGACTGAAACCTCCAAAACCAAAAGCCAAAATAAACCTTTCTTCCTTATGTTGATTTAGTTAAGGTATTTGTCATAACAACAGAAAGTTAACATAATTTTTTTATCATAGCAACCCTCAGTTTGGATATATTCATTTAATCATTCTGCTACTTAATGAAATTAGGCTGCTCACAATTTTTCACTGTTATAACAATGGATCAGAGCATATCCATGTCCATGCAGCTGTCTGCACAGGTGTGAACGTGTGTGTGGAACAGTAAGTGGAAGAGGAATGGCTGATTTGAAGAACAAGTCTATGTAACAGAATAGTGTGAATTTTTTTCTGTTATCTCAGTTGTGTCCCAAGGCTCTAAAAAACAAAAAACAAACAACAACAAAAAAAAATTCAGCAGGTGCCAGATATCCTGTACATAAAATGCTTACCTGTCTCCTAAGCATTCTTAAGACACTTGAGGATTTGGTTAGCACTGAGTAGTTGGGTCCTATGAACTACAGCATTTTCCCTTCTCTCCCTGGCTTTAAGAGGTAATTTAAGAGAACTGGGTTGGACTAACTCCCCTAACTCCTGGTGAATTAGTTTTCTAGGACTGTCATAAACTGGGTGCACAAATTGGGTGGCTTAAAACCACAAATTTGTTATCTCACAGTTCAGGAGGCTGGAAATCAGAAACCCAGGTGTCCGAAGGGTCGTGCTTCCTCTGAAACCTCAAGGGGAGATTTTTCTTTGCCTCTTCCTCAATCCTGCTGTTCCCCAGGGATCTTTGGCTTTCCTTGACTATAGATGTTTCACTTTCATCTCTGCCACCACTGTCACATGGCCACCTTCTCCTTGTGAATCTCTTCTCATAGAGACATCAATCATATTGGATTAAGAACCCACTCTGTTCCAAGTTTGACCTCATCTGAACTTAATTAATTACACTTGCACCCTATAAAGACCCCACTTCCAAATGTGGTAATGTTATGGAGTACTCAGGGTTAGGTCTTCAATATATATTCAGCAGGGGAGGGGGGTGTGGCCACAGTTCAACCCCTAACACTTGGAAACATGCGTTGGGGAATGGCTGGGGCCATTTGTGAGCAGCCTAATTTCATTTCATTCAGTAGCAGAATGATTAAATGAATGTATCCAAACAGAGGGCTGCTATGATTAAAAAAAAATAATTATTTCTCATTTCCTCTGAGACCAGAGGAAAGGGGGCAGCATTGGAAGTCAGTTGTATTTTCATCAACTGGATGAAGACATGGGGAAAGGGGGCTTAATTTTTTTTTTAAAGAGAGAGAGAATTTTTAAAATATTTATTTATGTATTTATTTTTAGTTTTTGGTGGACATAACATCTTTATTTCATTTTTATGTGATGCTGAGGATCGAACCCAGCGCCCCGCGCATGCCAGGCCTGCGCGCTACCGCTTGAGCCACATCCCCAGCCTAAGGGCTTAAATTTTTTACAAGCCAAATGTAAACCTCCTGGAAAGTAGTTGGCTTGAAACCATGTTGACCAGGATCACAAGAGGGATTCTGTGCAAGGATGAGGAAATCTTAGTTGAAATATGAGAGACCAGTGCCATAAAAAAGCTGGGAAGGGGGTGGAGCTCTGATTGAGTGTTTGTGCGCCTCCAATGCATGTTGGTATCCTACCCCCAAGTGACTGGTCTTGGGGCTGGGACCTTCCTGATGGGATTAGTGCCCTTAGAAACTAGTTCCTGGAGAGACCCACTGCTTCTACCACTAGGCAAGGGCAGGGCAAGAAGCTGTGGTCTCTCAGCCAGAAAATCCTCAGCAGACACTGAATCTGCTTTGACCTTGGACGACCCCAGTCTCCAGAATCGTGAGAAATGAATTTCTGTTGTTTAGAAGTCGCCTGGTCTGTGGTGTTTTGTTACAAGGGCTGGAACTAGGGAAGGTGGAGATAAAGGAAGGGAAATACTGGCAGAGGCTGTGCAAATAGAACCCAGCAATAGCAACTCACCAAAGAACCCACCCAGATGCCCCAGGAGAGAAAGGAACAGCTTTTCATAGCTGCCACTCAGAGGGCATACATACCAGATCACATCTCTCTCTCTCTCTCTCTCTCTCTCTCTCTCACTCACACACACACACACACACACACACACAGGCACTTAACCACTGAGCCACATCCCCAGGCTCTCTTATTTTTGATTTTGAGACAGGATCTCACTAAGCTGCTCAGAGCCTCACGGAATTGCTAAGAATTTGCAATCCTCCTGCCTCAGCCTCCTGAGCTGCTGGGATCACTACCCCTGGCAGTGATCTGATATTTTGCCAGTCAAGAAAAAGCTTTTTAGTTCCTCTCCTCTCCTACCTTCCACTCTCATTTGTGTCTCCTAACAGAAGCCAGCAAGGGAAGAGTTGGAGCAACAAAAAGAAAAGAAGCCCCCGTACTGCCTCCTCCTGGTTTCCAAACAGGCGCAGACAGGTTTTTAACTGGATGAGAATTTAGTCCTTTGATATTAGAGAAGACTTTTCATTATCAACACGACCAGAAAATCTATGAGATTTTCCTGTAATTTTACCCAAGGCTAAGGGACAAGAAGTTAACAGAATGGGTCAAAACAAGTTATGAGAAAGACAATCACCTTCTACCAAGTTCAGTTTCAATAAGCTAATGACATACATTTGAACTTTTGACAAAGACTTTCAAATTATCCTTCAAAAAGCCTGAATCAATTCATAGTATGTGAGGATATTAATTTACCCACAAGTTCATTATGATTAATCATTTTAAATTTGAAAAGTAGGATGCCTAAAATGATCTCCTTGTTATATCTTTTACTTCCTTAAGGATCAGAGAGTTCAAACTTCTTTTCATCTTATTGATTTATGGCTAATCATGCGGATTGCCGATGCAAACATTTATCTATTCTATTAGGATGTTTTTGTTTTTCTTGATGATTTATGTGTTCTTAATGTAATCTGTAATGTGGCCTAGATACCTGGACTGAGGGACTAGAGATTAATCAGAATACAAAGGGCCAGATTTGCCATGTAGTTTAAAAATCATTATGCCAATATCTACCTTACTTCTCTGGTTTGTGTTTGAATCACTGTGGCACCTTCTAATTTTGTCTTCTAAGATTGTAAGGGTCCGGCGAAGCGTCGGAGGAAGAGACCACCAAGGGACCGCGACTCATGCAACAGCAAGTGGGGTTTATTGAGATTCCAGCATGCTGGGGCTCCGTGCTCACTCAAGAAGGGAGAACAGCCCAGAGCCCAGAGCAGGGGCTGAGCACTGCTTAAGTACACTTCTTGGGGAGGGCGGGGACTTTACATACATCACAGTCTCCTTTAACAAATCATCATACACCGCGGGAAAATCAAACAATTCCTAAACATGATTAGTTCATTCATTGGCGGGAACAGGTCGGGCGGGGGTGATTGGTTACTCCTAAAGCGGGGTACACATTCAAACTGATTGGTCCAGGCCCTGCAATGCCTATGTGCAAGGCTACACAGAGCCCTTAAGTTATTAAACAACCAGGCGGTCAGGGGAAATATTTACTGGGCGGTTCCAAGCATTGTCTTAACAGCTACAGGAATTTCAGGTTTTACATGTAGCCTAGGAACTTAACAATACCTGGTCCTTTACATTTTAACTCAGGCCTTGCAGCTTAGAAACTTTACAATGCCCGGTCTTTCATACTTTAACTTTTACACTTTAACTTCAATTTCTTTTACCCTTACAAGATCATAGGCGGGGCTGGGGATGTGGCTCAAGCGGTGGCGCGCTCGCCTGGCATGCGTGCGGCCCGGGTTCGATTCTCAGCACCACATACAAACAAAGATGTTGTGTCCGCCAAAAACTAAAAAATAAATATTAAAAAAGAAAAAAAAAGATCATAGGCGCAGGTGGCTGCCACCTACCTGTGTCCTCCACTTAGTCATGAGAAATTCAGGAGGTAGACTCCACTCAATTCTCCAAATCAATCAAATTAGCAATGTCCCTGACCAAATTTCAGGAATAGCAGGTCACTCCAAACTGTAAAAAGTCACAGTTAGTAGCTAGGCATGGTGGCACATGCCTATAATCCAAAGTACTCAAGAAGCTGAGGCAGAAGGATTAAGTGAGTTCAGGAATTTAAGGTCAGCCTGGGCAATATAGCCAAGTCCCCATCTCAAAAATAATAATAATGATAAGAAATTGAAGGTTACTTATAATTCCCAGGGGGGAATATCCAGCTTCTTCCTTGGCAAGAAGAGGAGAAGGAGGAAACAGAGCAAAGGAACAAAGTTTAAACTCTAACCTTCAACTTGGAAGTTCTCTCACTATTGTAAAGCAAAATCTAAAACATATTTTGTAAATTCAGTGTACTTCCCACCTTGGTCCAATTCCATCTTTCAAACAGATATTCTTTGCCTAAAGTAGAGTGATAAACCAAGTGCCTGTAATCCTAGCAGCTCAGGAGGCTGAGGCAGGAGGATCACAAGTTCAAGGCCAGTCTCAGCAACTTAGCTCAAAATAAAAAATAAAAAGGGCTGGGGATGGGGTTCAGAACCCAGGGGTTCAATCCATAGTACCAAAAAAAAAAATTGGACAAAACAAAAGGAACTGATCACACCTGCAATGTCAAGGATAAATTCTTACTTGTGGCTAAAAGAAGAGGCAGTTTTACCAAGATGAAGTATGTGCTTACTAATAGAGTTCATGAACACCCTCTACCCACATACATTTTTTTTTATCCTCTTCGCTCTGGTAGGATTGAAGCCCCTCCACAAGATGGTTTGGAAGCAGTTTGTGAAGGTTAGAAAGAGTCTCAAAGGTATGACACAGGACATCAGGCTGGGTATAGTCCTTATGCTCCAGTTTCTCAGGGATGATGATGTTCAAGTCAGAAGGGTTGTTGCTGGCTGTTCCCATGATGGCCCGTGGAGTTACAGAGAAGGACAAATACAAATTGTCAGAGCATCTGACAATGGTTCTTCCTCCCAGCTTCCCTCCATTCCCAAGAAGAGATGATGGAACTTACTTTTTCCTGATTACTTCACATTCTGAGAGTCACAATGGTCCAGGGACTGACCTAGAACCCTGAGTGCTCATCCTGTACCTTCAAAGCAGAGAAAAGCAGTCAAGTGTCTCAGGGATTTTCTACAGAAATGCTAATTTACTTTCTGGATATGGACAAGATCTAAGGGGAAAAAATAGAACCTTCCTAAAGGAAGGGAGGAAAAAGCCAATGTGCATCTCTGTCTGAGGTAATTTTCCCCTCTGGCACTTAGAAGAGGCCTTTCACCCTGTGCAAAGATAATTAAGACTCCACAGACAATCGGAAGGGGGCCCTAAGGAGTGTGATTACATGATCACAATCCTGAGCAGATCTGAGAAAAGGACTTCATGGTCCCAAACCAAGGAAATGTCCAGATTAACACAGGTAAGAGGCCAAACTGCGTCTTATTTTCTGATCCAAATGAACACTGAGGAAGCAAAGTAAACAAATAAAAGTGCTCAACTTTACTGATAAGAAGCCATGGTAGGCCAAAGAGTAAAGGACAGTAGAGAGATTAAATAATCTTGAACACACCACACTTGATTGTGAGCCCTAAGGAAACAGACTCCTTCTGAAGTGAAGGGCAACTTCCTTATGTTGAAAATTAAAAGCTCCGCATTGTTTTAACTTCTAAACTTCTTCATAATAAGACTGAAGGTGGAAGGGCTGCCCACTCTGGCCTAACAGATGCCAAGGGATTGACTGACAGGTTCTCTGCTAACTAAATCTACATCTGTCTCCTGCCTTTTGTCCCATTTGGCTTTCCGTCCCTTGTAAGTTCTCCTGGCCCCTGAGATCTCTGCAGATGTTGGTATGAAACAGAAAAAGTTTCCTCTCTCCTCCTTCAAAGCTGGCTTTGAGTACAACCTATTTTCCTGCCAATTTGACTGACTCCCCAGTATAAAAGCCTAGCCTTTCTTCCCTTACCTGACACAGTAACAGTTTTGTACCGTGACACTAAGCAAGTTAGAAGCTTCTAAGAGCTACTCCCCAGTTTGGGACAAAAATGCAAATAACAGGGTTTCTTGGAGCTACTCCCTGATTTCAGGCATGTTCCACCTACAGTGAAGATCCCTGTCATTATGAATCGGCCAAGGAACCACAGTGCAACAGGGTTAGAGTTGGGGAAGATGAGCAGAAATGTCATGGGGAAGCTGCTAATATTGGCCAGCTTTTTACCAAACTTGAAAACCTTCAGCCAGGACTCTAAAATTATCCTGATTGTACCATTCACCATTCACATCCAGAGCGTATATGCCTGTAGTCCCAGCTGCTCAGGAGGCTGAGGCAGGAAAGATCACATGAGCTCAAGAGTTTGAGACCAGCCTGGGCTGTAACACAGTAAGACCTTCATCTCAAAAAAAAGAAAAAAAAAATCGATTTCTTAATTTCCAAAGACAAGTAAAACTTTTAAAATAAACTAGTTATATTTAAAATATAAACATATTTAATATTTCTTATAGAACTAACAAGAACCACTTGAATGCAATGTGATTCATAATTGTTTGGGTGTTTTGGGACAGAAAAGGGAATTGATGGGGGTAAGAAAGGTAGAATATTCTAGGAGCTGAAAGACATATTGCCATGGTTTTTCTTCCAAGCAAGTTGAGTGTGTTACTCTGGCCCTTATTTTTATAGATATATAAGAACAAAACCATTCAATGTGCTAGGAAATGATCCATTAAAATGTGATCTTTTTACATACCATGTCAATGTTCTTAATCATTGCTGTAAGTCGTTATGGATGGAATGTTTGCAGCTTTCTGGAGCGTGTTGACTGATGCAAAATCATAAGAGCACAATTATTATTTTTTTTGAGTGACTTATCAAAACGAAACAAAATAAATGCTGTCAAGGATGCTGAGAAAAGGGTATACATTGTTGGTGGGAGTGTAAATTAGCTCAGTCATTATGGAAAACAGTGAGAGGGTCTCACAAGAAATTAAAAATAGAACTACCATAGAGCCAGCAATTCTACTACTGGGTATATACTGAAAGAAATTAAATCGGTACATTGAAGAGTCACTTGCCCTGACATGGGTATTGCAACTCTATAAATGACAACAGGGATATGGAATCAACCTAAATGCCCATCAATGGATGAATGGATGAAAAAAACAAATGTGGTATAAATATACTCTGGAATACTATTCAGCCATAAATCTACTTATTTGTGTATTTTGTGGTACTGGGGATTGACCTCAGAGTGCTCTACCACTGAGCTATAGTCCCAAGGCTTTTTATTATTTATTTTTTTAAATTTTGATTCAGGGTTTCACTAAATTGTCGAGGCTGGCTTCAAACTTGTTATCCTCCTTCCTCAGCCACTTAAGTAGCTGGGATGACTGGTGTGTGTCACCACCTCTGGCATAAATTTTATTTTTAAATGAATTGTCAGATGGGTACATTTTGCTTTTTACAATGAGAAAGACTTCTAGTAAACGGCTCTGTTTTCTAATTGTAGTGATGAGTGTTGGGTGCAGAGCAGGCTGAACTGTGTTGTCTGCAGGGCAGGCTGAACAGATGTTGGCTGCAAGATAGCCCACGCACTCAAACCCCCCTCTATCTAGTCCTTTATCACCTGTTTGTGTCAAGTCCCCCTTAAGGCTGAGCACTCAACCCCCCTTGGGCCAACAAGGCAGCTTGCAGACCCAGAGGCCCCATTAGATTTGGGCTATAAAAACTCCCTCCTGCCAGGCCCCCCTCCCTCTTGCTCCCTCTCTCTCTTGCTCTCTCTCTCTCTCTTGCTCTCTCTCTCTCTTGCTCTCTCTCTCTCTTGCTCTTTATCTTTCTTACGCGCGCTCTCTGTCTCTCTTTTGCTCTTGCTCTCTCCCTGTTCATCTCTTCTCTTTTCTCTCTCTTTCTTTCCTTCTTTCTTTTCTCTTTGTTGCACTGCTGCAATAAAGATCTCTTGGTCACTCCGGGTGTTGTGGTCACTTTCCTTTCAATGAGAAGCACATTTTTTAGGGTGGGAGTGACAGTCACTGTAGCCAACCAGGTCTCAGCCTTGGGTAATAAAGAGTCTGATAAAACACATGCTTCTATTTTCTATCTTGTTTTGTGAATCTCTTATTTGCAATCCTATTCTCCAAAGGCCAATATATTTACCTTTGTCAAAACCAAATTTTTAATGTATAATTATTTTGTGCCAAGAACAGATTCGAGAGCATTCTCCTAAGCCAGGGCAGGCACCTCTCCTTGCTGTGAGGTTCAGTTGCTATGACACAGCAGCAGGCTGCTTAGGCGATTAGCAGCACATTATTAACTAAATTAATCCCGCAGTGTAGCCGCAGCAGTGGGAGCAGAACTCTGGGTTGTTTGTCTATTCGGGCTCTTTTATTCATGAATTTTAGGTAAACAGCAATTCTTTTTTTTGTTTCAAAGAGGGTTGTTGTGTCTCCTGAATACCTTTCCCTTCCCTTGGGCCACAGTGGAGGAGGTGACAAGGTCAGCTGGCTTCCGGAAGGCAAAGTGTTCAGTAATGTTCAGAGAAAGAAGATCATTTCCAAATTTCTCAAAGGAAACGTTCTGAAGCGAGTACTCCTATCAAAGCAGATGCAGAGAGAGGATACCGACTCCCAGAAAGAGGATCCCAGCTACACCTTTACTGGCATCAGAAAGTAAGTTCTGATATAACTTAGACCAAAATTGAAAGCGAGCCCAGCCTGGTGCCACACACCTATAATGCTAGTGATTGGGGAGGTGGAGGCAGGAGGGTGGTAAGTTCGAGGCCAGCCTGAGCAACTTAACCCTGTCTTTTTTTTTTTTTTTTTAAGGGAAGGGGACTGGGAATGTGGCTCAGTGGTAAAGCGCCCAAGGTTCAATCCCAGTATTGGGGGAGGGAGTGGGAGAGGAGTGAGTTTTTCCTGTGAGGCTAGGAACATATAACTCCAGAGGATAGGAAGACTGTAGCATCTGAAAGATAGGAAGACTTTGGAAGCAAGGTAAATTCAGAAAATCATATTGCAGTAAAATCAAAATAAAGGAGGAAACACATGATTGAAAATTTACTTCAAAGTACTAGCTACAACATATGCAGATGTAGAAAGTACTGATGTGCATGCTTATCTTTCTTTCTTTTGGATGTATGTACAGAAACATCACTATCACCTTCATTCTAGGAATAAAGAGATTTAAAAAAAAAGATTTAAGTAGATTTTAAACAAGATTTCTTATATTTTTGCAAGAAAAGGTTGGCCTCCCAAATAACACCTAAGGAAGCAAAGCATTGAAGGTTAATATTTAAAATGAAACTTCAAAGTAGAAAAGAAAAACTAAAACAACTTCGAAGCAGGGGAAAAAATGTACATACATCTTTAAAAGTAATTATATAAACACAAGAAAGTCAGGATATTTAAGATAAATTCTCTTAGAAACAGGGTCCTAAATCTGGATAAATAGAATCTACCATTCCTAAAAGATACAGCAGTTGCTAGGAATAAATAAATAGATAAATAAGGATTATTTATCTAAACCATATGCTAAATACAAATTGTCCATAATTCATTTGAAATGTTTCACACTGGTTGAGCATCTTATTTGAGAATGATAACAACAAAGTATAATTCTAATTAACTATTGCTCATTAGAAAATATTGTCCTGACTTTCTGAAAATAACTACACAGAAGAAGATTCTGCTGTAGTACTTGCCAACCATGATCGTAGTAAACTGAAAGGGAAGTAAAGGTGGGTAGGGCAATTGCATGGGCAATATCAAAACATGGAAGGCACTGCAGGAGGCAGACTGAAATGGAATTCTTTTCCTGAAGGATAAATAGAAACTAAGAAAACCTGCTACTGACATTTGTTGCATGATCTAGGACATTAAAAGGCATATGTGTCCAGGTGCCTTGCACCCCATAGTTATCTGGTAGTCAATTCCCTGGGTCATGGAATTTGGTGGCAAGGCAGGCTTTTTGGAGCCCTCTGAAGTGATTGGTCCAAGGCTTGCCTTCTTTCCCTCTGATTTAGACCATCTCATGGTCAATAATGCAGGAGTGAGCTAAATGCCAAGAGACAGCATATACCTTGTCCCACTTTGTTTATGAAAGATTGGTTTCACTCCAAACTAAAGAAGTGCATATGTCAATTAAGGTATGCTTGAGGCTACCACTAGGAACTAAGTGCTGGGTGTGGCCTTGAGATGTCATTGAAGGGAGGTACATTCTGTTGGGCCAAGGACTGAAGCTAAACCTGAGCCTAAACTATTGTGGTCAGAGCTGTATTAAAGCCAAACCAGACCCAAAAGGGCTCCGGGAAGGTACCATTCTCTTAGTTTTAACACCACCCAAAACCTTTCATATTTAGTGATGACAGAAGACGCAGCCACAATTTCGATACTGATGTCGAATCATGAAGAAGTCTCCCAGAGAAAGAAAGAACAGTTAATTAGGAATGATGATAGGAGAAAAAGGCTTTTAAGAATAATTTCTGTCGAGGGAAAAAAGAATTGTGGAAGATCGTATTGATGGATGACAAATCTTAGAGGTGCTCGAAGGGAACAGGAATCAGTTCAAGTCTTGAAAATCAAAAGGAGAAGGCAGAAAAAGAAATAGAAAGAAAGGGAGATGGCCGAGGATAAGCCCGAACTGGGAAATTTGCACACGCTGATGAGCCTGCACTCATGTGTGCACAAAGAGCTTCTGTCTGGGGTGGTGGTGATAATTTTCCAGATACATATACTTGTAGAAAGTATCAGCTGGGACTACATGGACCCCAATGTTGACCTCAATTCACTACTTTTCAAGTAACTGTAAGTTGGAAAAAGTTACTTAATATATCTGAAGTTCAGGTTACTTGTTTTAAAATAATAACTAGTAGACTTGCTTCATGGGGTGGTTAGTAGTATTTGATTGACTAATCAATCTAGAATATGCAATAATATGTTGGCACCTTGTAACCACAACATATATTCTAGCAAGTACTATTTTTTTCAGTAATTGAATTAATTCAAATTTTACTGAGTACCCACTATATGCCGGGCAACTTGCTAAATATAAAAAGAGTAGGTCTCACCTTCATGTTGCTAAGATAGTGACCTGTTGCAAATGAATAATTATAATGTCACGTGAGCAAGAAATTGTAAGTAAATCATTTTATCAGAACCCAAAAGAAGGGGTTTTGATAGAAGTCTTGCAGGGGATAGTAGTTTATTCTTCCTGAGAAGTCAGGAAAGATTACTTCTGAGCTAGAACTATGACTAGAGTTAACTACGCAGACTAAAAATAAAATCATTTCTTTTTTCAAAGGAGGCCTTATTGCAGGAAAAGTAAAAATGATGTACATCCTGGAGGACAGAGAAGTTTGGGAAATTGTAAAATGTCTGAAATAGGTGCTGTAGTAGGCACTGGGAAGGAAAGGTGATTCACAGATACTTCAAGGCTGGCTGCAGAATTTTTTTTTGTTATTATTATTTTTTAATTGCTTTTATTTTTTAAATACATGACAGCAGAATGCATCACAATTCTTATTACACATATAGAACACAATTTTTCATATCTCTGTATAATAAAGTATGTTCACACCAATTCATGTCTTCATATATGTACTTTGGATAATTGATGTCCATCACATTCCACCATCATTGCTAACCCCCGGCGCCCTCCCTTCACCTCCCCCACCCCTCTGCCCTATCTAGAGTTCGTCTATTCCTCCCATGCTCCCTCTCCCTACCCCACAATGAGTCAGACACCTTATATCAGAGAAAATATTCACCATTTGTTTTGGGGGGATTGGCTAACTTCACTTAGCATTATCTTCTCTAACTCCATCCATTTACCTGCAAATACCATAATTTATTTTTTTCTTTATTGCTGAGTAATATTCCATGGTGTATATATGCCACATTTTAAAAATCCAAAATTCATCTACTGAAGGCATCTAGGTTGGTTCCACAGTTTAGCTATTGTGAATTGTGCTGCTATAAACATTGATGTGGCTGTGTCCCTGTAGTATGCTGTTTTTAAGTCCTTTGGGTATAGACCGAGGAGAGGAAGAGCTGGGTCAAATGGTGGTTCCATTACAAGTTTTCCCAGGAATCTCCATACTGCTTTCCATATTGGCTGCACCAATTTGCAGTCCCACCAGCAGTTGTATGAGTGTACCTTTTCTCCCACATCCTCGCCAACAGTTATTATTGTTTGTCTTCATAATAGCTGCCATTCTGACTGGAGTGAGAATGGTATCTTAGAGTAGTTTTGATTTGTATTTCTTTAATTGCTAGAGATGATGAACATTTTTTCATATATTTGTTGATTGATTGAATATCCTCTTCTGAGAAGTGTTTGTTCATGTCATTGGCCCATTTATTGATTGGGTTATTTGTTTTTTTGGTGTTTAGCTTTTTGAGTTCTTTATATACCCCAGAGATTAGTGCTCTATCTGATGTGTGAAGGGTAAAAATTTGCTCCCAAGATGTAGGCTCTCTATTCACCACAGATTGTTTCTTTTGCCGAGAAGAAAACTTTTAGTTTGAGTCCATCCCATTTATTGATTCTTGGTTTTAATTCTTGCACTATAGGAGTCTTATTAAGGAAGTTGGAGTCTAATCCCACCTGATGAAGATTAGGGCCTACTTTTTATTCTATTAGACGCAGAGTCTCTGGTTTAATTCCTAGGTCCTTGATGTACTTTGAGTTGTGTTTAGTGCGTGGTGAGAGATAGGGGTTTAATTTCATTTTGTTGCATATGGATTTCCAGTTTTCCCAGCACCATTTGTTGAAGAGGCTATCTTTTTTCCAATGTATGTTTTTGGTGCCTTTGTCTAATATAAGATAATTATAATTTTGTGGGTTTTATCTGTGTTCTCTATTCTGTACCATTGGTCTACCAGTCTGTTTTGGTGACAATACCATGCTGTTTTTGTTACTATTACTCTATAGTATAGTTTAAGGTCTGGTATAGTGATACCACCTGCTTCACTCTTCCTGCGAAAGACTGCTTTAGCTATTCTGGGTCTCTTAAATTTTCCAGATGAATTTCATGATCGCTTTTTCTATTTCTATGAAGAATGCCATTGGTATTTTGATCTTAATTGCATTAAATCTGTATAGTGTTTTTGGTAGTATGGTCATTTTGATAATATTAATTCTGCCTATCCAAGAGCAAGGTAGATCTTTCCATCTTCTAAGGTCTTCTTTGATTTTTTTCTTTAGGGTTCTGTAGTTTTCATTGTATAGATCTTTCACCTCTTTCGTTAAATTGATTCCCAAAAAGTATTTTAATTTTTTTGAGGCTATTGTAAATGGGGTAGTTTTCCTCATTTCCCTCTCAGAGGATTTGTCATTGATATACAGAAATGCCTTTGATTTATGGGTGTTGATTTTATATCCTGCTACTTTGCTGAATTCATTTACTATTTCTAGAAGTTTTCTGGTGGTTCATCACATCAGTAGTTTCAAAGATAAGAATCATATGATTATCTCAATAGACGCAGAAAAGGCATTTGACAAAATACAGCACCCCTTCATGTTCAAAACACTAGAAAAACTAGGGATAACAGGAACATGATCTCAACATCCTAAAGGCTATCCACACTAAGCCCCAGGCCAACATCATTCTAAATGGAGAAAAATTTAAGGCATTCCCTTTAAAAACTGGAACAAAACAGGGATGCCCTCTGTCACCACTTCTATTTAACATAGTCCTTGAAATACTGGCCAGAGCAATTAGACGAAAGAAATTAAAGGGATACAGATAGAAAAAGAAGAACTTAAATTAGCACTATTTGCTGATGATATGATTCCATACCTAGAAGACCCAGAATTTGTTTTTTAATACTGATGAATTAGGAGAGCATTTGAGGTCCATGTGTTAGAGCTGTGGGATGGAAAAGAGACTAGAGAGGGGACAGCCTGGTAGGGAGACCTCCAAGGAAGCTGCAGGGAGTGAGGCCTCTGTTGCTCTTATTCATTGGCCTTCACTGATTTGGCCCAGCCCAGTTTTAAAGTCGGGGGATACCCCACAGAATGCAGGCAAGTCTCTCCTTTTCTACTAGGGGTAAACAGATAACAAAAAAGCAAACAAATCAAGGAATTAACAAATAAAATTGAGGAGCCAGGCATAGTGGGTGGCACACACCTGTAATCCCAGCCACTCTGGAGGCTCAGGCCAGCGGATCATGAGCTAACAGCCAGCCTCAGCATCTTAGTGAGGCCCTAAGCAACTTAGTGAGATCCTGTCTCAAATAATAAAAATAAAAAATAAAAAGTTCTGGGGATGTGACTCAGTGACCCTGGGTTCAATCCCTAGTACCCCAAACAAACAAAAACAAATAAAATTGAGGAATACAAATGATTAAATAAAGGTAGAATAAAGCAGGTAGGAAGGCCTGAGAGGAAAATGGAGATGCAGAGGGAGACACCTGTGAGCTGGGATCAGAGATCCAAGAGACCCTGGAATCTGTGGTCAACATTTGTTATATACCTGTGTGTGCATTATTCTAAGAAGATTCCATCCTCCTCAGTATATTAAGATGCTTATTGAACTATCTGGGGGATTGAATTTAGAGCCTGGTTTTCAACCCAAGAGAACACAATAGTATCATTGGCAAAGTAGTGCAAAAAAATTCTCAAATATAAATTCTTTATTATAAAGAATAAGACTTAACAAACATTTTTTAGTAGTCAGATATGTTTTGTTTCAATTTTTTCTTCTATATTAACCTGTTGTGGAAAAGTGTGTGTGTGTGTGTGTGTGGTGTGGTGTGTGTATTCATTCATTCCTCCTTTCCTCCTCTCTCATTTCATGGAGCTTGGTAGGAGATACGCATTTGTGGGTACAAAATTGGGCTCAATCTAAACGTATCCCAGACAGAAAGAAAAACATGGACTTTTGTTCTTCCTGTCCCAAGACAGATGACCGACCTGAAGCGGACCATCCCGCTTGCTCTCAGCGGGATACTGTTCTTCCATTTTAATCACTTAACATGTGCGCAGAACAGACTTGACCACATAAATCCAGTCTCTAGGAGTGAGGGGCAACGCTCCGGGAGGCCTGTGCCCAGGCGATCGGCCCGGAGCCTACTGGCCGCCACGCGGAGTCCTCAGCCCCGGGCCGCGGAAGGCCGGAGGAAGCCCGGGGAAGAACCCCGAGGACCCGGGGAAAGGCAGGGGAGGTCCGGGAGGCCTCGGGGAGGGTCCCGGAAGGTTCAGGGAGGCCGCGGAGGCCCTGGAAGGGACAGGGAAGGCTGGGGGAGGCGCAGGCCGCCTCGAGGGCCGGTGGGTCGGCAGTGGCTGCGACCTTGCCGGAGGGGTGCCCTGGGAGCACTCTGCGCCCCGATGGACGAGTGGGCAGCGACGCCCCTGCCGGAGCCGGGGGCCGCGCAGGGGTCGCACCCGAGGCCCGGCGGCCGGCGGCATGGCGCTCCCGACACGCCAGGCAGCCTGGAGACCCCCGAGCGGCTCCCCCTCCGGCCAGCCCCCAACAGACCCGCGGCCCCCGAGTCCCTGTGCCCCTGGTGGAACGCAGCGACGCCTAGGGCGCCCCGGCCGCTGGGGCAGGCCCCGGAGCCGCAGCCCCTGCCACGGCTGGCCTCCTGGAGCCCGGCCTGGGCCCTGGGCCTGAGCTCCGTGCCGGCGCCGGCCTGCGGGCCCCGCCGGCCCTTCACGGCCGAGGGCCAGGCCCCCCGCTGCCCGCTGCCCTCCTTGTCCTCCCGCTACAGGAAGGCCGAGTCGGAGGGGGCGCTGGGCAAGCCGTTCGCACTGCGCGCGGAGCGGCCGGGGCCTCGGGGCGGCTTCGCCCTCGGAGAGGACACCGGGGAGGACACGTGGGCCTGCGGCCCTGTGGGGTAAGAGCCCGAGCCCCGGGCGACCGCGAGCCCCACCTGCCGCCCTGGCCCGAGCTCCCCGCTGAGACCAGCCACAGCCTGGGAGCGAAAGGGAGCCGCCCGCCCAGGGCCCGGAGCCCCTTTCAGACACCTGCCTTCCCGCTCTGGGACTCCAGAAGCTCCCTTTCCTTGTCTGAAGCTCCTCCTGCTGGTACCTTTTCGGGTGCCTGGTGCCAGGGCTCTCCCCCAGGAGAGGACCCTGCGTGGCCCCGGGCGGGCCTCTACTCCAGAGCCTCCTTCCATCCGCATTCTTCCCCAGCAGTGGCCGCAGGTGGACCAACCCCTGGGTTCACTACCCGATCTGTGTCTCCCGTTTCTCCAAAGCCCACCTTTACGTCTAGGAGACATAAACTGAAACCAATTAGCTGATGTGTTTAGTATTACGTGGCTTTAATTTATAATTCTTTCCAAATAGTTATATCTTAACCCGGTGATTGGTTTGTTATCTTCTATTTTTCCAATACTCTTACCTTAAATTATAGTGGGCTTTTTGGACACCATGAAAGTTTAGTGTGGAAAATATCGCCCCGTCCTGGGGGCCTTTTAATGTCTCTGAAATATGCACAGGATTCTTGTTCTGCTTATATGTAAAGTTGACCTGGCTTCCAAATTGAGCACTTTTTTATTTATTTATTTTTTATTTTTTTTAGTTGTAGTTGGACACAACACCTTTATTTGTTAGTATGTGGTGCTGAGGATCGAACCCAGGGCCTTGCACTTGCTAGGAGAGCGCGCTACCACTGACCCACAACGCCAGCCCCAAATGGAGCACTTTTTGTTTTGAATGATTCAAAACAGACATCATGGCCCTATTTGTTAAATTCCAGATAACTCACCCCCGCCTTTTTTTTTCCAATTTGTATTTCATTTTTCTTATCTGCTATCTCCTTTCTCACCTCTGTCTTAATTTTGTAATCATCTGTCAATTAAAAATTCTAGTTTGCTTTTGTTTGTGCCCTTTCTTGTCCTGGTTTGCCCCGCATTTTTTTTTTTTAATCCTGGTTGATTTCATATGGTTACTCCAACCTCACAGTCCACTCTGCTTTCTAAACATTTTCTTTTTTTGTGGGGGGGGGGGGGGGGGGGGGGGGGGGGGGGGAGGGGTCAAACCCAGGGCCTCATGTATACCAGTTAAGTGCCCTAAGCTCCCACTTTCTTTTTATATGAATGTTGAATCTTACCCATAAATGTGCCTGTCCCACAACCTGTATAGGATTTTAAGGAAACAGAGGAGCAGCTACAACAAAATGGGCAGAAGAAACGGTGAGAACTGTGGCACCACGGTCCATCTGTCAAGCATTTCTCAGGAGGTATGGCAGATGCTACTGAACTTGAGCCTTTGGGCAGGAGCTCTCATTGCTAAAACAGTTCCCACTGACTTTTACTACAGAGATAACCTTACTGCTTTCAGTTTGTAAGCTGTTTGTACTGTTTTTCCCTCTGCACATTTGAGATATCAAACCTTAGCTCCTCTCCAAATCTCAGAAGATTTCGTTAAAGATACTATTTATCAGTTATCAGGCAATTCTCACCATTTTACTTTCTCACGTGTACTTCATGGAAAATATCAGCAAGGCAATAACCAAGTCTGAAGCCTTAAGAAACTTGCAAACTAACTGATTTCATGTTTAGCTGACCAGCCTTCCTTACCCATGTCACATTTGATTGTTAATTTGTTTGTATAAACAGCAGTTTTTATCAACTTCTTTTTACCATTTGAATGTAAGGATGTTTCTCACATGTACATTTGAGACACTAACTAGTGTCCTGGGATTATATAGCTGAAAGAAATTTGTGAATCCATTGGGGAAGTTTTTAAAACGCAAATATCTGACTTCACCCTCATTCTACTGAATTAGAATCTGTATTTTTTATCAACTTTTTTCTTTTTAGTGCTGAGGATGGAACACAGGGCCTCACGCATGCTAGGCAAGCATTGTACCACTAAACTACAATCCCAGCCCTCAACCATCATTTTTAAAAAGTTCCCTAGGTGGTTCTCATATAGCAACTAGACCTCACATATGTTATATCAGAAACAGAAGTTTATTAATTTTATTTTCAAAAGTTTCCAAATAAAAATAATCGGCACCCTCCTTTCCCATATCCCACTATCCTTCCCATCAGGAGATACCCTGCTGTGGATAAATTAAATCCTTGTGTGTATTGAAGCTTATTTCTCCCCGTTCCTCCTTAGGGGTAGAGCTGATACCTAATAATACCTAACATTTCATTCATTTAGAGATTCATTTATAAAATATTTTTTTGTCTGAGATAGAAAACAACTAGGTTCACTCCTCAAGTTACTTTCGTAACTTATCACTTCCCCTTTCTAGAATAGAGTATTACAATCATTCCCTGCCCACACACACAGGTTTCCCCTATAGCACTCTGCACAACATCTGGAATAGAAATACTTAGTAGATATTAGTACCTTTCCCTTTTCAATCATTTTTTTGTTTTCTTTTTGAGTATTTCCTGAGTGTTTCTCAACATCTGAAATCTAGATTGAGAGTTATAGACTTGTCAGCATTGGATATAATGCAAGGATTTGTGGAAGGGTTTTGTAGGCTTTCCGATCTGGTGCTCAGACACAGAAAACCTGATGAACATGCCATTGTGTACCTTTTATTATATTTTAAAATCAATTTTGAGAACCTGTGTGTCATTTTAATAAAATGAGAAGGGAATCATAAATTATGGTAAGAGTGTTTCCATTTCCTGGATGTCAGGTGTTATCAAGCTGGTAAAGGTTTGATTAAAGGAATTGTCTTCATCAAAGATACTGAATGCATCCATCCTGGAGGCAGAGGGGTCATAGGACTTTGGGCCTTGTGTCATACTTTAACCAAAGAACGTGTAAAATTGTGTACTTGGGCTTTTAAAAATCTTCTTAATTTTAAGTATATCCTAACCAAATATTATTTTAGAATGTATCTTCCTGGAGTTTGGATTCCGAAGTACCTGTTCTTGAAAATAAAAACCTCCCACCTGGAAGGGATAGTGCGGCAGGTGGTAAGAAATCCTAGATGTGTATATTAATACTGGAATAATTACTTATGTTAAAGGGGGTTTGTTTGAATGCAACCTGTTTTATGTAACTATTAATTGTCATTTTTTCATATACATTCTTTCAGGCAAAATTAATAAGGTAAGGATGTTTGGTTTTAAATAATTCAAAAACATATTGTTTGAAAATGATAAGCATATTTGAAATTTTTTTCTTCTTCAAAATTAAACTTTAAATTTTATTTCTGTAGAGTTCTTCAACCAAGGCAACGTGTTTCTGTTTTACAGGGCTGCAAATTGTTCATTTAATTAATATTTTGTTATTTTAACTATTTTTAATAAAACAATACTAGACATGGAAATTGACATGTAGTAAATATAGTGTTTTTTAGTCATTGCCAAAAGGGAAGTAGTCTCAGCCCTTACAATGTATCAAAGTGTTTGAAATGGTAAATATCCTGTTTTGAAATGGCATAAAATTAATCTTTCACTTACAATTTTTGATCAAAATATTAAATGCTTCACTGTAAAATAATGATACTGAAGGTTCATTAACAATGTTTAGTTGGTATTGATAATAGATTTCTGATGAAATCAGTAAAAACAAAATGATTTTTGTATGCATAAATGGAATACATTGGATCTTATGATAGATCCTGTGGTTAGAACAAGAACTATACCTTCTTAGAACATGAACAGGAAACACAGACATGTTGTGTTTAAGTCTTCTGCTGCTTCATAGAACCATTTGGAAATCCCAGTAGAGCAACTGATGCTAGAACTTAATAAGTCAGAGCGTGCTCACAGGAGAACACAGGTGGTATTTTATTCATCGTATCATACTCTTAAATTATCATTCAAAAAATTCATGTATTTTCTAAGACACTGTCATGATTTTTCTATTATCAGAATAGTAAACAAAAGCTGTTTCAGTTATGGAGTTACCCTCTTAATGAAGGAAGTACCATGGAGAACAGGTAAGAAGATATTTTTGTAATACTCTAAATTACTGAAATAATTTTAAATACAGATGAATTAGCTGCTTGAAATACAAGAGCCAAAAACAACCAGCAGAAAGAAAAATTGTGTGGAAATTACAGAAACCCACCCTGAAATAGGAAGTGGTAGTGGACACCACAAACTAGCCAGCAAGCAGGTAAGAGGTGAGTTCACTCTGCCCTTGCTATGAAGGCTTAGATGACACTAGGGTTCTCTTCAAGTTGTAGAAATTTTCATCTCTTACAGTGGAGGCTTAGATGGATAGAGTTGGACTTGTCGTTGAAAGGAAAATGAAATATAATAGGGAAGTACTGTTCTAGGAACTCTTTGAATTCTCTATACATATTAACTCATTTAATCTGAGCCCAGTGTTACAAGGTAGATGCTGTTAGCATTATCCCTGTTTTACAAATGAGGACACTGAGGCATGGTGACCAGTTCTGTAACTTGTCAAAGTGACACAATTAATGGATGGTGGAGCTGGGATTTGAAGGTAGCATAGTCACATCATATTTCCCTGGGTTTGCATTCTCATGTTTTGTGCTTAGATTTTACTATAGATTAGAACCAGCTAGACTGCCCCTTAAAAACATAGGTGTTTGGAAATTTCCTCTTCTTGAACACGTCTCGGTATCACTTTTACACATAGTGAAGGGCATCCCAAGTCCCATTCATCTCATCTGCTGTAACAATAGAGTGCGTCACTTGACAGTAACTCTCTTCTGGTCAGAGGATTTCAACTCCATGAGGCCCAGAGGAAAGCTGCCCTTATGTAAAATTCAAGGGAGAACCAAGAAGTGCCAGGAGAATTGTGTGTGCTAACAAGGGAATGTTGGTGCTGCTGGATAGGCTAACTTTGTGAGAAAGCACTCAGCTAGGGACAAGGATGTCAAGGTAAGAGGTCAAACACAGTGAACTGACTTTTATCACAGTAACAGAGAAGTAAACATTAAAGGAGGGAGCAGAAGGCAGTGGTTGGGATCACAGCCATGATCTCTACCACCTGAGTTCAAGTCCCAGCCCCACCAGTTACTAGATATGTGACCTTAGCCACGGTGTATCTCAGTGTGCTTATCTATAAAAGGAGGAAAGGGAGAGAGCCCATCTCATGGGGATGTTGTGAGGACTAAACAGAAGCATGTGTTTGATAGGGATTTGCTCTTCATGCTGATTAGGCCTAAGGATGATACAGAGATGGAAGTTGGGTGTCAATGAAATAGTTCATTACAATTTTTCTCCTCAGTGTACCATCAACAAGTAAGGAGGATGAAAATTACTTGCATTTAGTGTTTAACATTTCACAAAGTACAGTGATATAACATGTTCTCCTCAGAACTCCCCTGAGGTGGATATTGACCTTTGCATTTTGCTTATTCACTGCTGCTGGTACGGGGTCACACCTAGGCCTTCCTCAGCCTGCCTGCTCTTTTTACTATACCGAAGGGGGCTCCTGTCTTTGAGCAACTGAAGATTTAAAGGGATTTTCCTGTAGTTTTTCAAAGGCAAGGCAGCATTCCTAGTGCTTAGCTATAGTGCTTAGCTAAATGAATAAATCTTTTATCACCTTCTGTAGTAATTAAAGTATTTTTCAAAATTCTAGATTACCTTTACTATAAACTGGCCACTTATAGAAATAAGACCAATGTTAAGACCACATGTCAACTTAAATGCATCTGATCTTTCAATCCCAGTATTTCTAGCTATCTTAAAAAAAAAAAATCTAGTAACTCAGTATTTTATGGCCTAGTGTTTTTACAGTTTTCAGTATTATTGTTGTAGTTTTACAGTATTATGTTAATATAATACCTAGAAGAATCAATCCTAAAGTAAAAAGGCACCATTAGAAGAAAATTACTAGGGACTATATCTGGAATAATTTTGGTTTGATAGATATTTCTTACTTTTTTGTTAGAATAATTTTTTAAAACTACAGTGATTAACATAGAAGTCTTTGTTAAGTAACCTAAGTACATTCGTTAAGTTTCCTTTTATCTGATTCTAAGTCATTTCACTATAATTTCAGTTTGAGTTGGATATCCTAATTTTCAGACATCATAATTTCATGTACAATATAGGTAAATGAATATAATTAGCCACTTTTAACCTTGTGGCTTCATAGCCACAGTTAGCTGTTTTTAGGTCTCATTTCAGGTATCTTGCTACCAGCTGGATAAGCTAACTTTGTGAGAAAGCACTTGTGCAAAGGGATATCTAATTAATATTTTAATCTGTATAGTTTATATAATTAAAGCATATTTTGAAATTAATATATTTTTGTTGCAGATAGCTAGATACACATATACATATGTGCCATTGGGAACTAAATGTTAATCAATCTTTGACAAAGGTTATTTATTTGTATCATTTAATAGCATTTTAATTATAGTCAACAAATCACTCATTAATTAAATTATTTTTTAAAGGGAATTCAAACAATCTACAATGGAAACTGGCTTTAATGTAGTCAATAATCCCATAAGGCTCTTTACCCTAAACCACTCATTAACAAGTACTCCAGCTGATCAGCAAGCTGGTTCTAAACTGGGACTGCCGATGCCGATAAGTCTCTACTGGCCCTATGCTGACGGAGACTTTTTAAAGGACAGAAGTGAGTTTCAAATTGATTCATGTTCACCTATAGAAACCAGCAATGGAGAAACTTTATCTGCTCCAAACTGCAACCTTAAACATGGAAACAGCAGTGTGGAAGAAATTTTAACTGATGAAAGTGACTTATCAGAAAACGAGAACACTAATGATACTTTACTCAGCTATTTTAAAAAGATGGACTTGAAGTTAAAGCCAGAAACAATAGAAAATGTTGAGGAATCTTTTACTGAGGAACCAAGTGAAGTATTTCTATATCCTGATTTTCTTCCCCCTCCTTTCAATACTCTGGATTTGCACAAATTTGCCTTTTCAAGATGTGAAAATTGGAAAGCAACATTGGACTCTCCAGAAAGCTCCATTGAACAGCTGATAACTCGTTTACTAGAACTGGAACGATTACAACATATGACTATACAAAAGGAGCGGTCTAGGCTACCAAGTGCTTTCTGTTCTCCAGCAATTTCTGAGCGACCCTCTTCCTCCAAAAGTACATTGAAAGCGAGGCAGCCCAAACTTCCTGACGCTTTGAGTCTTCTGACATCTTGTGTAGATAAAAGCCGAGAAAAGAGAAAAAACAGTTCTGGTTGTGGTAAGCTTGAACAAAATGCTTCAAAGTGGAATTGGAGTGGTGATGGAAAATATAAATGGAATTCTAGATCACCATCTCTAAAAAGTTCACCAACCACAAAACAATATATTGCAACTTATGATGATTTTAAGAATCCCAAAAGTTTCACTTCAAATTCATGCCAAGAACTCTCACCCAAGCCTTCCACCACCCAAACTACTCAATCACTGGTTAAAATAGGCTCAACAAGATGCCTGCCACCGAGGTCTCCAATACTAGTTTCACCTATACCCCTGTCTTTTCCTGAAAATCACAGGGAAGAAATTAAATCACAAAGGACCAAAAGGAAACCTTACCAAAAAAGTATACTAATGAATAGACCATTCTATATTCAGAAACTAAACTGTTTTTCACCTTCTTTTATGGATAAGGGTAAATGCTTACCCATTGACCAAAAATAACTCTTTTCTTTCATACATCCCAATGTGAGCAAATGTATTCCAAGAAGTTCAGCTAACATATGGTTTGTCATTCTGAGATGCAGGCATAAAAACAAAAACAAAACAAAAATAAATTAACAAGAAAACCCACACAAATTGATTGCCTGGCAAGATACGGAGTGCAGCCTGTGCGTCACAGCTAAGCCATCTGTATACAGATCCAAGGGCTTACACATTGCTGCATCTGACAATTCTTCACGTTGTGTTTCAAAGAAATGTTTTACTTAGTAAACCTAAGTATTCTATTCAGCAGCTTGTTCTTTTGTTGTGATTGTTTTCCAGTATAACTCTATCATCAATAAATGGTATAATTGATAGATTGCTGTTGTAGTTATTCTTGGATCGTGCTGTGTTATAATCATGTAAGACTTGCAGTTACTTCTCGGTGACATTCTTCAGAGATCTTCCCACTCTGTATCAATCTTTTTCTTCTCCCTCTTAACCTCCACAAATCATCTATCATTCTGATCTTTGGACACTGATTGGCCCTTAAAAGTTAAAGAAGTTGCTGTTCTCTTAATTGAATATCTGAGATCCTCCAGATTTTCCCCAATCCTTAGAAACTTGCCATTTGTTCAGGCCCTTCTTTGTCATATACATGAAAGTAATTATCAATTCTCTTTTGAACCCAACTACAAGTTTAGGAATACAATAACCCTTTTCCACTTCAACCTGATAGTTGAAGAAAAAAATCTAATAAGGTCATAGTCCGCAGTCAGAATCTCATTACTGGATTTTTTTTTTCCTTCAAAGATCTACATTGTTGTAAGTCTTACCCTGAAGCTTAATTCATTAACAAGTGAAAAACTTTGACAAACTTTATTGCTAGGAATCAGGGAAACAAACAATAGAATTCTGGCTTCTACCTCTGGCTGACTGAAACAAAATTTTGGGGAGGGGGATCCATAGACACATACTATGAACAAGCATCCTGAGTGATTTTTAGTGCAGGTGATTCTTGGATCACACTTTGGAAAACATGAAGAAAAGCCTTAACATGCATAAATCAAACATCTGGGTATTCTGGGCTATAGTGTGCTTCAGTTTAAGCAGATGATTGATGAATTCAAATGAGTTTTTCTTTTCTTTCTTTTTTTGGTACTGGGGATTGATCCCAGGAAAGCTTTACCACTAAGGCATATCCCCAGCCCTTTTTGTTTTTTGAGATTACAGGGTCTCACTAAATTGCTTTGGGCCTCACTAAATTACTGAGGCTGTCCTAGAACTTGTGATCCTCTGCTTCAGCCTCTGAGCTGCTAGGATTACAATCATGAGCCACTTGCCTGGCTAGTTTTTCTTCCACATTAAAAAATAACAAATGATTATAATTTAAAACATTACCCAAATGTACCAAATGAAATAAAAGTCCTCTTCCTTCCCACCAATGCGAGGCACAAACCCAGATATTATTAAGTTTCTGTGTATCATCCTCCCAAATGATACAGAATATTTGAATTAGGAATGGGGAGATGCATTAATGAGTAATTCAAATAAATGTTAACGAGAGCAAATGTAGTTTGCTTTCTCTGTTACCTTTAGTTTAAAAAAAAGGCTCAAATAGTTTTCTAAGAGGCAGGGATCATAGGGAGCATGCTTGGCTTTTAGTTAACATCAAATAATTTTCCACAATAGAAAATAATTGGTCAGTTTCCCTAAATGTAATGGAATTTTGCCTGTATTCCATCCAATAATTCTCATTATCAAAACTGGTATAATATTCTTTTCACAGAACTGTAATGCAAAAGTGGACTTTTATTTTCATTCACTTCAATTCTCAGTGACCTTCCTTGGTTCCTGTCAATTATCTTTACTCTCAGTTCCCTCAATTTGAGAACTGAACCTTATAACAAGTGCTTTGTGTCCATTCTCATCACTTAACTACTTAACTGGATTTTATTCCTTCATCTTTAGGGTCATAATGTGAAGTTTTACAAGACTTTAGAAAGAATATATATATATATATATATATATATATATATATATATATATATATATATTTTCATATTATATATAATTGCATATATATAATATATATGTGATTAAACCCAGGGGTCCTTAACCACTGAGCCACATCCCCATCCCTTTTTTATTTATTTTTTTTGAGACAGTGTCTCACTAAGTTGCTTAGGGCCTCACTAAGTTGCTGAGGCTTTTAACTCATGATCTTCCTGCCTCAGCCTCCTGAGTTGCTGGGATTATAGGCATGTGCCACCATCATTGGGATTGTTATTCATGAATGGTTAAAAGCACTGATTGATCTATAACCTGAAATGGAAACCAGCCTCTGTCACTTAACAGCTCTAGTCTACATAAGCAGTTTCTTTAACCTCTCTGTGCTTCATTATCTGATTTGTAAAATGAATGAAATGCCTTTTATTTCATATAATCACAAGGATTAAATGAATAGGATTAAAAGTGTTTGGCATACAGCAAATTGTCAGAAGCCATTCATGAACCAAATCGGCATGGAAGCCTTTGAGTAAGAAAGTCTGGTGTCTGGGAACTCCCAGCAGCACTCCTGCTGGTGAGACTGCCCCAATACATGTGACATTCTACCTAGTTCTGCCAGGTTCCACACAGCACTGGCGATGGGGTTACGTGCTGGAGCCACAAAGCAACACAGCCTTTCAGAGATGGGTGTGGCTTGCTAAGATGACAACCTGTTGAGGACAAGACACCATGAAGCAAGAGTCCTCCTGCTGAAACTTTATCCTTCCCTTTGATGTACCCCCTCAAATAAACGACTGGAGCCATTTTCTAGTTGTCCAGCTCCAGCTCCTGTGTGGACTGGATCTATCAGGCGGTCCATCCCTTAAAACCTATTTTTCTTGACTCTGCCCCATATTCAGACTTTTATTTCCTCAGGTGGCTTACCCTCTTTTAAGAAGGAAAAATTACCCTGGTGAGATGCTGGCTGCCTGGTGATAACAAATATTCAAAAAATGTAACAGGGAAATAAGAATGACTCAGGAAGGCAGACCTAGTGCAAGAATAAACTGACTTAGCATAAACTGACTTTACTGCCAGCAGAGGAATGAGAGTTCTTAACAAATTAATGTTCTCCTTCTTGCAAGGAATGTTCCAGGCAAGCTCAGGAACATGGTATGTGGGAACACACACAAACCCTTTCAGTGAGGCCAAGGTTTGCAGTGGCCTGGGAGATGGAAGTAGATGGCAGGGAAGAGCATGTGGAAGTAGAGGTCACAAAGGTTAAGACTGTCAGGGAAACACGGAACTGATTCCTGTATTGGAGGGCTGCTTTGGCCCCTTACAGTGTGGGGGAAAAAACTGATTCTGAGCTTTGACGTCCTCTATGAAGGATGATTTTCTTTTATGGACATGAATTTACCTGCTAGATCATCAGATGAAAATATGTGGCAAAAAGTGAAGCAAGGTTCCTAAGGGTGATTTCTTTCTTTTTAGTACTTAGATTGAATTTGGGGGCACAACCACTGAGCTACATCCCCAGTCCTTTTTTTTTTTTTTAATTGAACCCAGGGCCTGGTGCATGCGAGGCAAGCACTGTACCAACTGAGCCATATCCCCAACCCCTCCAGTGCTTTTTGAGATAGGGTCTTGCTAAGTTCACCACACTGGCCTCTAACTTGTTATCCTCCTGAGTAGCTGGCATTACAAGCAAGTGCCACTGCATCTGGCAAAGGGTGAATTTTTTTTATTGTAAACAACCGGGCTACTTTATTTAGGATGCTATTAGACCTAAATAAAGGAGCTACTGAAATACCTATCAGATGGTTTTCCAACACTGCTTTATTAAATATAAATATCAAATCTGGACAAGAAGTATTGCCATTTTCCATTACGGGACAAAGGTATCAATAATTTTAAAGTCAACATCACTTATTAAAAATACAGGTGCTGCTCCTACCCCCACCCTCCCTAAGGCTTGAGTCCCTTGAACAAGACCAGAAGTGGCAAGTTTGTAGAAACCATACATGCAGTCATCTCAAGTTTATCCCATTGATTAACAAAGGGAAATTCTTGTATCAAACAGGTAATACATGTCAATAAGTGAAAAGGAAAATTCACCACCGGGGAAACTGTAGAAACTAGCAACTATGAAACATTTGGCTATTTTTTTCAGATGTGTTCAAAGCCAACTTCTACCATCATTAATTTTGCTTAACTGGGGATTGAATTTAGGGGTAATCTACCACTGAGCTACATCCCTTTGTAACGCAGGGTTCTTAAGTTGTTCAGGCTGACCTCCAATTTGTGAACCTCCTGCCTCAACCTCCCAAGTGGCTGGGATTATCAGGGTGTGCCACTGCACCTGCTCTACCACTGTTTTTTGGTACTAGGTATGGAACCCAGGGGCACTTAACCACTGAGTCACACCCCAATCCTTTTTGTTTTGAGACAGGATCTACCTAAGTTGCTTAGGGCCAAGGTTGCTAAAGTTGGCTTTGAACTTGTAATGTTCCTCCTGCCTCAGCCTCCAGTCGCTAGGATTACAGGCATGAGCGACCACTCCACCCAGCTATCTCTGCCATTATTATTACTTTTCATGGTGAACTTTGTTTTAATTTTTTATAATTGTTTTTAAATTAAGTTATACACGACAGTAGAATATTTATGCACTTTGATATATCATACTTAAATGGGATATAATTTCTCATTTTTCTGAGTGTGCATGTTGCAGAATTACATTGGTCATGCATTAGCCATTATTTTGGATGGAAGTATTTGGCAAAATTTATTGTCGAAAGTAATCCTGTTCAAGGGCAGCAGAACAGACAATATGATTGATGTATGTACATTCCATGTATGTATTATATATCAAAATGCATTCTACTGTCATGTATGACTAAAAAAATTAAATAAAAATTAAAAAAATAAAAATAAAAAAAAGTAATCCTGTTCAAGAAAATTTAACTTGCTCAGAAATCCCTGTTTTTTTGCTCTCCATTATTCACTTTTTTCCTCAGCTCATTGGATCTTAGCGAGGTTGACTTGGCTTTTTTAATGAGCCACAGATGGACATATGAAAGATCTGGTTTCCACCTTAATACATTCTGCATAATTCTCTCAAATGCACCAGAAACAATGACCTCATGACCACTTGTGGTATACAATTATGTAGCTCTATCCTGACAGCCCAAGCAAATTAGAATGTGGTCCTTTAAGACACTAACATTCATCCCATTTCTTATAAAGGATGCAACCAGAATCAGTCTTTACCTGCCACTTGGAGATGATTAGCTCCAGCTGGGGTGGATGTATTCTACAAAGCCAGACACTTCTACCCCTGCCCACATAACCTAATCCTACTTCGCATGCACTAGGGATTTACACATCCTCTTTGGTCCTTCTTATTATGTTTGGTAACGGGGATTGAACCCAGGAGCACTTAACCACTGAGCAATATCCCTAGCATTTTTTTTTTTTTTAAAGACAGAGTCTAATATGCTTAGGGCCTCATTAAATAGCTGAGGCTGATTTTGAACTTCCCACCTTCCTGCCTTTGAGTTACTGAGGTTAACAAGCATGCTCCACTGTGCCTGGCCTTATTTTATTCTTAAAAGCTGAAAACATTTCCTTAAAGGAAGAAAGGAGTGAATAGACTAGGGCTAAGAGCCTGATATGTCAGGGTTCTAAATGGGCAGTGAACTGATTTACTTGTTATTTGAAAAAAAGGAAGTTAGTTCATTACTTTGTATTGCTGTTTGTGAGGAAAATCTTACCACATTGGTTGTTTTCAAGGTACAGGTTCCAGAATCTACTGAGGTTGTATGCCACATTTATCCCCATACCTTTTCGAGTCATTGAAATGCACATCAAAATCTTTGAGATTTTTCTAGGATTTCTATATAGCTTCAGCCCACCCGTCCCTAATTATATTTGAGCACAGAATACATTTTTTTTTTTTGGGGGGGGGGTCCAGGGTTGAACCCACGGTCGCTTCACCAATGAGCCACATCCCCAGCCATTTCTGTTTTTTCACTTTGAAATAGAGTCTCACTAAGTTGCTTAGGGCCTGCTAAGCTGCTGAGGCTACCTTTGAACTTGTAATTCTCCTACCTCAGCTAACTGAGTCACTGGGATTGCAGGTGTGCAACACCACACCTAGCCAGAATACTTTTCAAATCATATCTATCCTTAATGAAATGGCAGCTAAGAAACCTCAGGTAAGAATGTTTGTAACTTTAAAGTAAATGTAAAATGCCAAACCTAAGCTAAGGGGGGGGAAAAAAAAATCAGCAGACAATATGCTACCAAGAGGCATTATTTTATTAAGTTTTCCAATAAGTCAATTGGGGACATATGCTGCTAAAATGCAAGTTACAAATCAAATAATACCATGAACAATTAGGATACACATTGAGTATTTTCAGAGATCAGCTTCCATATCTTGATTGCTAAATGGAAAGGTTCTTCAGAACTGTCCCTTACCCTATATACAGAAGGAGAAGAAAAATTAAGGATGCTACAATGGTATCTCAAAATAACTGGAAAATATCTTAAAGTCAAATTAGTGTACATCGTTTGACATGTAAAAAATAAAAACAAAAATCACAAATGAATTTGCTGGGGGACATTTTTATAAAGAATATAAAATATATGTTGAATATATTTTGGAACTAGCATACTATTAAAAAAACATACTTATGGAGCCCACTGTTAATGATGTCATTTTAACTGAAGAAGGTGTATTACATATTTGATTATGTGACTTTTTTTGTATCTCCAACACTTAAGAGGACACTCCCTAATTGCTTAACCTAAATTTTAATGTACATGATTCCTGTTTCATTTCAGAGATTTTATTTCTACCTATATAGCTGGGAGTTCTGCTTATGAATGATGATGAAGTATGGGTAAAGCAGAAAAGAGGAATGCAAGTCTGGAACAAAACTGAGAACATTTCAATACCTCTATCACATACTATAAAACATTACATATTTTGTATTGTAAAAAATGTCCTTAGTGTTTATTTTTGTTAGGAAAAACGTGGTAGTTATAATGTCAAGATAAATATTACTTATGTTAAAAATACAACAAAATAGTCCAGCAAATAGAGTGAGATAGCCATTGGGGAATGAAGAAACAGTTTTTAATACAGATTTACAGATAAACACAAATATCAGGAGGATCTTATTTATGACAAGACGTTCCCCTTGCTCAAAATCCACTTATTTCTGATGATCTTTGAGAATAATCTACCCAGAGACAATGTACCTAAACTTCATATGCTTTCCAGTTCTCCTCCAGCTCTAGAAAGAACTACGACATCTTTGGAACTATGCTTAAGACTTTCACGAACTCTCAAGTATTTGATATTATTTTTGCCATAAAGTATAAGAAAGCTGAAACTTCATAACAGATACTTCTATTTGAAAATTATAAAGCTATTCTGAAACACGAATGCAGGTTTGTTAAATAAGATCATTAACTAAATGACTTAAATGTTACAGAGGTCTTAAAATGTTCCAAATTTCTGCCTCAGCAAAATTACAAATTCAAATAAAACCATGTATATGTATGTAAGATGTTTTTTACAGGGTTTCTTTCAAGTAGATAAAAATAGGAATGCTAAATTTGCGAACATGAAAAACTAGTTATAACCTTTTTCATTTCCCTTAAGAAAAACTGACAATGGCTCTGAGTAATCTATTTTAAGACCATGACTGGAGCACTTGTTAAAACAAGGTTATTAAAGGTTAAGTAAGAGAATAGATTAACTAAAGGAGTTAAACACATTCTTAAAATTCCTGCTTCTACTCTTCTGTACCTGCTTAAAGCTGAAGATTACTTTTAGATGTATGCTACTTGGTGGCTGCTGTTTTTCTAATAATCCTTAGCATCTAATTTTTACAACCATGTGTTATGTGGGATCTTAAGCACCCAAGAGCCTTTTATATCACTAAACTTAAGTACTATTTTTATTTTAGAGGAGGGGTATAGGAGAGGAAGAGGCAGGAAGTATGAGAAAACAAGCACTTTACAAGATGAACACCACGATAGCACTACTATTCTAAATACCAAACACCAATGAAACCCAAATCATAATGCTGAAAACTAAAAAATTAGACAAAAATTAAATGGAGCCTTTTTTTTTTTTTTTTAATCTTTTATAGGACAGAAACCTTAGCTCATGTCTTCTGGTTGTCATCATCTTCCACTGAGCTGCACCTAAAACACAAAGAACAAGTAACAAGCAACTTTGTTTTTTAAAGAACAGGTAATAGTTTTGAAGGTAAAAGATGAACTGTTTCTAGTGGAAATTAACTTACTTATTAAATAATTATATAAATGAAGTCATGAAAATCACCAGAAGCATCAAAATGTCAACTATTTTGAGTGAAAATAACTACAAAAGACTTGAATATGCAGCATACTGTCACCAAAATAAAGTACATAATGGTGGGAAAATTACTATCCATATTATTAAGGTAGAAAAGCTGCATGTGATGCCTTATTTAAAAGGCTTCACTCTACCTGAAGATGAAAAAATCACCTTGCTTTTATTTTAGTAAGTCTAAACCATGAAGAGTCGGGGTGTAGATTCAGAGTTGGCTTATTATATCATCTATCACCTTCCTGGCTGTGCAGTTCATTTCATGTCTTTAATTGGAGCAAAACCCACCAGAAGAATGCTGCTATTCTGATTTTCCATTCTTGAATGCACCAAAATGTGCATGCTTGTTGTAATTAGGTGCCTGGGTGAATAAAAAAATCCCATTTACAATTTTAAAATACTATTTAAATCCCTAAAATCTGATTGTTTTCCATATTCCTCAGGGAGACAAGCATTAATTTTACCCCCAAACAGAAAAAGATTACATATGCTTTTGAAAATCCTATCAAGTTACAAATACGAATTCCTCTGTTTTGCAAAACCAAGCTGATTTACATGATTTTGTTTTAAATCGTTGCTAAATGTTTATCTACACATGCTGTCAGAAATAACCTTGTTAAGAAGGTGAAGCTGGTGTCTCAGCAAATCAGACCCCTTGCAGAAGGCGTTGAATGGCCTGTGCCCCGTTTTCCTTTTTCTCTTTCCGCACCATCAAAAGGAAAAGTGAGAAAATAGCAAAAACATTAGTTAAATCCTGCATTATACCCCATAACCTACAGGAATAATCTCACTACACTGAAAGCTGACAATATTGTGGGCTTTTGGGGGGTGGGGGATAAAAATAATTAGAATCCTAATTATTAATAAATTGATAAACTTTTGGCTAGATTTACTTCTTTCAACAATACTCTCAATTAAAGACTTCAGGATAAAAAGAAAGGTTGCTTTTAGCTATTTATGGTTTACCTGACTTACCAGCACTGAAGACAAAAACTTTTAAAAATGGCTACAAATGCCTTGTTCACAAAAGACTTTATTATCTAGTGATGCATACTGAGAACATACAGAAATCTGCATGGTCCACTTCACATGCAGTAGAACAATCTTCACTTTACAATAAGTGAGTGTCAACTGTTTATGCAATAGACAACACTTTAAAGTCACAATCTTAAAGAAAAGCTTCATTTACAAAAGAAATAAAAGGTAAAGAAGCAATTACCGCTTTTAAAAAGCAGCTGCTTTGTTCAAGAGTGGAAGGTTTATGCCTGTATTGAAAGACAACATGATCACAAATAATGAAAACAATGAACAAATGAAAAAACACTTTTACCATAAAGCAGTACACTTTCAAAATGACATACAAATAGTTAAAAATTTCATTATGTTGTCTATCTAACCTTTAAATATGAGGACTTTGAGAATTAGGCCTCAACATTTGTAATTAGTAAATGAAAACTATGCATCATTTCTATGTCACTAGGAACTGTATTTAACAAAATGTATATAAAGTCTATAGCAAGTTGATTTTAAAAAAGTAAAGTTAATAAGAAACAGTACACTGAAGGCGCTCTATCCATCAAGCGCGTACTCTTCAAATTTTAAATGTGATGAACAGAACAGAAATTGTAACTATGCCACAGTTGCAATGCCAAAAAATAAAACAAGATCAGTTATCACACATGCAGGGAATTCTGCCACAAAGCTATTATCCCTCATTTGTCAATTATTCCAATAAAATAACATCTTAAAACACCAGTGATGTTGATGGTTTAGCTTACCTTCAGTGTACTGAATGTTGTACACAACCTGCTTTAAAAGAGGAGACCGTCCCTGCAGGCAGGCTCAAGAAGGAACAGACCCCTTTCGGCACTGACTACACCAAGGGCATGCTGCTGTGGCCTGCACACACACACCTAGGAAAACGTGAATATAAACAGCATTTATGCTGGCCATTTTATCTGAAGACCAAAATGAAGCCAATTCTGCTAAAAACGAATCAACCACCCAGTATTACTACTCATTTTATAACAGATGCTTTTGTCTTTTATGTGAACTGCAACCATATACATTAGCACTGTAATTTTGTGCAGTCTTGGCAATTAAAACAGTTCTACAGTGAAATTTCACATAAGACACAAAACAGATTAACTAACATTTCTAAAAGAAATATCACCCTTGGTGTTAATTCAAATATATCATGCTTCCTCAAATTTGCTGGAGAAATATTTATAAGTTTATATACATTAATAATAAACTGCTGTGAAATTTCTTCAGTCTTTGTATTTAATTACTCAAACCCTTGGAGTTTCTTCATCTCGTTTAAATTTTTTCCTGGATGAAAGCATGCTGTAGGGCCTGGTTGATGCTAATTCGCTTAGCTGGGTCCAACATTAGGATCTGGTCCAACAAGTCCTTTAGCTGGTGTACTTTTTTACGTTGGTCTTCAGGAAGTCGCTGGCACCCAATCAAGTCAGCCAACAGGTCCTTAGTTGGATTAATGGTGCTCATGACAGTAACTTTCTCCTAAAAATAATTTTTACAATGCGTATCTCTAAATAAATTACTAAACAAAAACGACTTACATCAGACTGTTTTTTTGTCTACAAAAATATTTAGAATATGTATATCGATCACAATCAACTGCTCTTTTAAAATTTATGTGGCTTTCTTTATCCTCTATATCTTTTCAATAACTAATAAAAAAAACTCAGACATGTGGGTGGTTCACATCTATAACCCCAGCAATTCAGGAGACTGAGGCAGGAGGATCTCAAGTTCAAAGCCAGCCTCAGCAACATAGCAAACCACTAGGTAACTTAGTAAGACATTGTCTCAAACAAAACAAACACCCCCATCAAAAACAAAACAACAACAACAAAAAAACCCCAACCAAACAAAATTCCCCCAAAACCAACCAAACAAAAACCCCAAATAAACAAGCCGACCAAAAACAAAACAAACCCAAACAAACAAAAAACCCCAAAAAATCTTAGATGGAAAAGCTCCCCAAGTTAGCAATGAAGACAAAGAGTAAAAACTGGTCAAACTGTACTTTCCCTACTCTTAAGTGGCAGGAAACAGACATGTAAACAAGCTGATAACAAACATGTGCTTTGACAAAGTTATGCACACAGTACATGTATACAACATGTACTTTTGCTAAGGCTTGAATAAATTTTTTTCTAGGAGATGAGGAGGCAAATTGGCTCAGGGAAGTCTGAACCAATGTCCCTATCATTCAAGTGTAAAATGGTGGGGATAAAAGAAACTGCTGAAGGTGGAGTTCATACCAAAAAGAACTTTGTCATTCTGAAGAACTCAAATATCATAGATAGTAGGGAGCCAACAAAGTATTTTAAGCAATAAGAATTAGCATAATCAGATTTGTTTTCAGAAAGATCACTCTAGAAGCAGAACACAAGCTGAATGGGAAGCGAGACCTAGGAAGTGATCCAAGAGATAGGTCATATTCAGGCCTTCATCACCTATCACAAAAAGAAACTCATGATGATACTGAAAATCATCCTTTCATAACCTGACATATTTTATTGAGAAACAAACTTTGACAGGAAAAAGGAAATTAAAAAATATTTTATTTTTTTTTTTAAATTCACAGCTCCATGTACCACAGAGTACTCAATTCATTTAATGTAGCACACTTAAAAACACTTACCCTCTCTGTTACTTTATCAACTTCTACATACATGAAGTTCAGATTTTGATCAAAATGTTGGTCTTTGAATACACCTTTCCGAATCATCTATAAAACAAGACAGAAAAATCTGGATTTTAAACTTAAAATTATAAAGCAGCCTTGGCCTACTAACAATATTTACATAAGTTTATTGTGTAGTCTCTCTTGGTATTAGGTATTAGTTTCTTGCTTTCAGAACTTATTAACATCTTTGGAAAAACTAATCCAAATGCTATACCTAAATTACTAATAATATGAAATGACATTTTCACAGTTACTGACAAACAATTGCTATGATACAGGTAAGATTTCATTAAAAAAAGTGTCAACGTAACTAATTTGTGCAACTTATTCTAAACAAGTTCGATGTAATACAATTTGAACAATTCTAAAAATAATAATGGATTCTGATCCATAAGAAAAATCTGTTACAATGTTTCAGGAATTCAATAAACAAGCTGAAATCTTAGACAGCTGAGATACAGAAAGCCCTCTCATATTTTCATAAATATCTTTCTCATAAATAAAGTTGGTTCCTTCATGTTAAACAGAAAACTAGTAGGATAGCTGAAGCACTAAGGGTGAGCTTTATGTTCAAAAGATATCCTAATAAGTGAATTTTCTTGGTATCCTCCTTTCCCAATGACTTCTAATCTTTAAAAGCTAATTATCAAGCTCAAAGTTCATCTATTCTTTCTCTGACCACCAAGCACTTCTTTCATTTTAACTAAACCAGTCTACATCTTTTTTCATTTTATCTCCCAAACATGTAACAAGACTGAGCTCCTTCTCTCCCCATCACTGAAAATGTTCTTTTGATAGGGCTGGGGATATAGCTCAGTTGGTAGAGTGCTTACCTTGCATGCACAAAGTCCTGGCTTCAATCTCCATCCAGCACCACACACACACACAAAAGTTCATTTAATAGCGCTTGGGTGATTAGAGCCACTAATTTGAACATCAGAAACTTGAAAAGAGCTAAGGAATGAAGGTAGACATCTATCTGCCTCTCTAAAATCTTTTATTTCACAGCTATAATGGTAAATGTCACAAGTCCATCAGTCTATACAAAAACTTGAAAAATTAAGCTGATGTCCTACCTTATTTGGCATCTTTCCTTTGAGATCCATGGCGAGTTTCAACATATGGTTGTTGGTTTTGCCAGGAAATAAAATTTTTCCAGTGTAGAGTTCATATAAGGTACAACCTACAGACCACATATCTATACCATAGTCATAGCTTTTACCTATAACTGAAAACAAAATGCAAGTTTTTAATATATCAATGACTGACTTCAATTAATTTTTTAATTTCCATTAATAGGGGACTATCTTGACTTTGATTATAATCATAACTTGAACACATCAGTTTGGCAATTAATTTTGTGTTCTTCCCAACTAATTCTTAATGAAGACTCTTAAAACTTCAAAAGTAGGGGTATGGGAGAAGTGAAGGGTCAAAAAGAAAATATATATTCTTTTTTTCACTTCACCTTTGGTGGAGGTGCTAACCAACCTCAACCAAGGCAATAGGAAGAGAAAAAACAAAGGTCCCATACAATCCATAAATGTAATAATCAGACCTTGAATAACCAAGAGCAGTCTTCTAAAGTCGAGGATTTTCCACACCTGTTTTGCTACTCTTGCTTGACATGATCAAGACTCCTGCCACAACTACTTTCATTCCACCTGAGGAGGATGAACTTGCTATGGTTCCCTTCCTCATGAATGAACTCGAGCAGCTGCTGAAGTGTGATGGAAAACAGTGCTTAGACATTACATATGCTGTTTCCACCGCATATGATGGCCCAGGTCAAAGAACATTTTTGAGAAACTTACTGATCTCAGGAGCACGATAAAATCTACTGACAAGATAAGGTGTTATGTCATTATCTGCAACATGTGAAGCCGATCCAAAATCACAAAGCTTTAAAATCGTTTTTGATTCATTAACCTGCAAGACATTTTTTTAAGGAAATTTAGTTCGTGTCAGGAAAAACAAACACAAATGAATAATTAAAATGGCTTTAAGAAGTTTTATTAATTCCAATACTGTGAACAAGAGCCATTTATAAAAATTCCTATTCTATTTATAACTTAATTTTCCTAAATATGAAAAATTAAGCTCTCCCAAATATTTTATTATGATTAGTAAAAAACTTTTTTCAATGAGGAATCATGGGATAACACTAAATATATTTAATTTTAACAAAGAGCATTTAAAAAAGGGTAGGATTGAGAGAAAAAAATCTAATTTCAGGAGACAAAGTATCTTCTAGAAATCGCCTGAATACCTGAGTAGTCAAGTTGCTCTCTAAAGAAACATGAAAACATTTGTTAATAACTTAGATTTCAGTTAACTTTCAGCTGCCACAAAATTACAATGGCAATGAAAGCAAAAGGGTGATTCAGGTTAAATTTGGACTGGAAAAAAAAAATTTTTTTCCATATGAAGCTGGTCTAGATTTAGCAATCTAGCAATCATGTCAAGTTTAAAAATATCAAATCCCTTAAAATATAAAGAAGATATTAGTCAAGAAATGTTAAATATTTGGCAAAACTGATAAACACGAACTCTATATTAGTCATTTGTTCTTGTTTCCTTTGTAAATACTTTCACATACACAGTAACAGTGACATCTGCTGAGAAAGGCTGGAGCTGCTCCCATGACTGCTGCCACTCATGAGTCAGAAGCATGTGCAGGATTAACAAGTGAAGATAATTCATATTCCAGAGTCCCTTCCCCCCTTCAAAAGAGACACACACAAATTCCGAGTTGGGACTTGAACTTGGCCCTATTGTTCCCACCCCAAAGAAACATAACACTTTAGCCCTAGGGACTTTATAGGAAGGTATCATAAAATGTTTGGTTTACAGACTTGGCTATTGTAAGCAATATCCTCAGAACTAAACTATAACAAATGATTATTTTAAATTGCCATCAATTACAATTTTCTTTATTTTGGGAATCAGGAAAATAGATATCTTAAAAATGGAAAAATTCTTTTAAGAAGCTTTTTTAATATTGTGGGCTTGCTTTGTGCTAGGGAATGAACCCAGGGCTTTAGCATGCTAACTAAGCACTGGCTCTACCAACAGCCCCTCATATGAACGTAAGTGAGCTATACAACTTCTACTCCCTCCAGGAGGAATATGGTAGTTTCCCACACTGACCACTAAAACCACAGGCTAAAACATTGAGATTTTCATTAACAAACATGAGCTCCATGTGTTTTCTGGGTCTATTTTTTCTTCCTCAGAAAAAAGGAAAAGTACTCAGTTTCTAAAACCCTATACTAGTTTAGTACTAATTCAAGGAAAAACTAAGCACTAAAACCGAGAGCATTTACGATATTGACAAGTGTCTTAATCTTTAGTCTCCACGGGTGTTCACTGTATAATTATCTTCTAAATTACATGTTTTGATGTGGATACTACATTTCACAATTAAACAGAAAGAAACATTTAAAGAAAACAACTATGAAGCTGGCTATGCAATTCAATTTTACAATCTGCTTAAAAAATGTACGTTCCATCTCACTGTAATTATTCAGCAACTCTAACCCCACGTTAAATTAGATAGAGTATTATTAACACAATGTAAGCTCAGACCACATGTGAAAAAGGAATAAATATTAACAATCTGGAAGGAATAATCAAGATATTAAAAAAGAAGAAAAAGAAGCCTAAACTAAAGAGCCTAAGGAGTTCTGAAACTTTAATGTTAAAGTCATATTTTTTAAGAGTTTACTGTGTCATAGTTTAAACAGTTCCCAGTAAAGGACACCTTACATGTTTGGCCTTTTCTAGGGCTCTCTTGGATGCATTTAAGGTGTGCATTAAAATAAGAAAGAAAGAAAAAGAAAGAGAGGCAGAAAAGCAGAACATGTTGCTGGCAGAGAATACAGGAATTCTCCAAGTTGTGAATATGCTTACAACTGTGAACACCACAGAGCAAGGTGAAAAAGGGGCCAAGGACAGGTGTGTGAAAGTATTAATCACAGTACCATGAGGATGTATTTTCAAATTTCAAAAACACCACAAACATTGTGAAACCCATGTTGTTAAAACAGAAGTCACTAATAGTGAAAGTCAAACCTTCAAGAGATGCCTCTCAATATTACACCTAAAACCATAACTGAGCTTTTCTGTTTGGGCTCCAGGAGCCAGTTTCTAGAGCAATAAATAATAAAAAAGCGGGGAGGGGGATTACTTCTAGGTACTTTTTAAACTCAGAACCATATATCTGCTCAAGAGAGGGTAATTCCCTTAAATATCCCTAACTCCATCCATTTATAAAAACTAAAGAACAAAGAAGTGAAAATTTCTTATTTCAAAACAGCAACATGTGTAGCAATTTTTAAAGATACCAGAAGAAACACACTATTACTACAAAAGCATTCTCGGGGTTATTGTATACTCTGAATCAATGAATCAGAAGAGGTGGTGGTGGGGGGACGGACAAAGACCCATTTCCTCTTTCTTCATAATTTTCTGTAAAACTTCAGGGCCCAATTTCCAAAAAAGGTACCATTTGGTCAAGTCATTCATAATTGGTGTTATTAATACTCTGACTTACATTTCAAAGATGTCTTTTCTGAAATAGTAATAATCATATTTCTATTTTAAAAAATGGATGTAAAAATTAGCCTGGTTGTTTTGACTTACCAGGATATTGTCTGGCTTGATATCTGCATGTAGGATATTGCACCTTTTAAGGAGTTTCAGTGCCAGGAACAATTGCTGACTATAGGATCTTACAGCTTTAATATGAAGACCAACATCCTTACCATATTTTTTTAATACCTCTCGTAAATTCATACTTTTAGGAGAGAAAAAACAAAAACAAAAGGAATTAAAATGCAAACTGGAAATATAAAAGGTAAAACATTTTCAAGTATAAGTTAAAATGAAGTACAAAACACGATTTACATTTAAAATATTCTGTTCCAGAATCCCCCTCCCAATCCTTGACAAAAATTATTTTACATTGAAATGAGAGCATGTCACACTGTGCATACACAACACAATTTCTCAAAGTCAACTTTCAAAATAAATAGAAGCTGGGCATGGTGGCACACATGCCTGTAATACCAGTGATGCAGGAGGCTGAGGCCTAAGGATGGCAAGTTTGAGGTCAGCCCCAACAACTTGCAAGACCCTGTCTCACAAAAATGAAAAAGGAGTGGGGATTCAGCTCAGTGGTAGAGCGCCCCTGGATTCAATCCCTAGCACTACAAACAGAAAGATGCATGATAAAATTCATATTTTTAGAATGAGCTTTTACCTTTGAAATCTCTACAATGAAACCACAGTTGAAGATAAAAACTGTATTTCTACCCAATCACTTTCACTATTTAGTTTTCAAAGACGACCTACAGACTACCTGAGATTAGTGCCAGGTACACAGTATATAGTCAACTATTAGTTTACATATTAATTATCGTCAAGAAGTTAACCAAAGCTAAAAAAACAAAAACAAGAAATGACTGAAAAACACTAATCAAATACCCAGAAAATTGTCACAGCACTGATCTAAAATGAGTTTGGTAGAAGCTACATTTTTTTTAATTTAATATATAGGCTCTGACATTGTACCTGAGAGGCTCAAATACGAGACAGAGATGCTGCTTGTGATAAAAGTGCCTGAAGAGTCGCAAACAGTGAAATTTGTCATCTGGATCAGCATCATTAAGTTTTTTCAAGAACTCTAATTCTTTTAAACCAGTCTTTTGCCTGCAATGAAAAAGAAAGTTAGGCCTAAACTAAACATACACAGAATTTATGAGAATAACATTTGCTAGACCCAATCTGATGTACCATGTGCAACCATTGGTGATGTGGATAAGTAGTGTTTTTTTTTTTTTGATGGTGCTGAGCCACCAAACTGAGCCATATCCCCAGCCCAGTAGTTTTGTATTTTTTAAGTACAAATAAATCTAAGTTTCTGTATCATTTACATAATAGTTTATTATTATTTCCATGAGTAGAGTGAACTTCCAGAGTAATCAATGGATAAACAGAAACATTCCCACTCTGCTTGAAGGGAATCAATATTGCACGTTTTAGCTCAAAATGTCTTGATATAATTTTTTAAATCAAACTACCCTATAGACTAGTCTTCTCTGTTGTACACAGAAGAAGCTGGGACTTCCCAACAAAACACCCTCTAAGACATCAGTAAAAATCCACAACTCTTGTAATATTTCAAAACCAGAAAGCTGACATTAATCCCAGCTCAGAGTGTGGTATAGATTATGTACTGAAACACAAGTAAGGCAATTATCTATTCTATTAAAGGAAAAACATAAGATACAATAATGCCCACCATTTGCTAATAAATCAGTTTTTATTTTGTCACCATATATTCAGTGACACTTGATATGATCTTTTCATTTCTCACCTCTGGTCTTGAGTTAAGATAGTCATAGCAAAAGATGTTGTATAAAGTAAGCAGTAGAAGGTATGTGCCTACGATTGTACTAGTGCACATAGTAGGTACTGAAAAATTAATTATTATAATTATTACATAGTAGACGGTACTGAAAAATTAATTATTACTATGGTTCTAGTACTTTACACATAACAAATTTAAAAATCCAGTAAAAGAGAACTGTTTCCATTACTTTAAAAAGGCAATACTTATTTTAAATTGTGTCACATTTTAAAAAATATTAGAAAAAAATGCTCATTCATAAATATCTGTGTTAATATTAAAGGCTCCAACTCATTTGTCTCCTGAACTTACATGAGCTCATTGTTTCTGATGATCTTAACAGCCACTTCTTGGTTGGCTCTTGCATTATCTCTGGCTCGTACAACATTACTGAATACACCTTGCCCAGTGTAGCCGTACACATTGTAACGCTTATCTAGGACTTCACCTATGTTCACACCTAAGAAAACAAATTAAAAATTTAGAGGTCTTACCATAATAATGAACATAAAACTGGAAACACAAAACAATCACTTAAAAATTGTGTAAAAACTGTACTATGCGGTTTTCTACAAGAGGGAAAATCAGGATTTGAAAGTCATTCTTTCAAAAATGTGGTTAGAAGTTATATGCCCATTTAGATAACTACAAGAAGAGTTTCTGTTCTAACACTGAGTAGGGAAGAAATGTTCCATGAAACATTTTCAATTGTATTCTTGCCTATCAAATACTGCACTACTGGCATTCAAAGTTCCTTCTATGTCATTTTTCTTGGTTTCAGATCAAGAAAAGCAAGTGATGGACCCCTTCCTTCTAAGGCATCATCTTGTGGACAAAAATTATTTTGATTAGATTTAGGTTGTATATCAAGTCTTTATATCTCACCTCAATTTGCGATGCTTCTTGGCTGCTTACTAGAACACAATAGGGATTCATGCAATAGGTGCATGTGCCATACTTTTAAGTGATGGTACTGTGATGGAATTTTTTGAAGTTCTCCAACAATATGTGACTACATCAGGCAAAGTGTTTGGTTACAATAAACTCCTAAGTTAATAAGAAATGTGAACTTACGATAATAGCCTTCTGCATCAGTCCAGTTATCTCTGAGGTTGGGATTCTCTTTGAAATCTTTTCCAATGCCAGCAGCCCTAAGTCGAGCACTCTGAAATTAAGGAGACATACATTATTTACTCACGTAATCACACATTCAAAGCACTTTCTTTATAACTAACAACAAAACTAGCATTTTATCGCAAATTAAATAAATACAATATAGCTAAAATAGGATTACCAAATTGTCTTATATTACAACACAACTCTGGGGAGAAAAAAATAACAAAGAATCCTCAAAAACTAATGCGTATGATTAGTTCATTATTTAAAAAAAAAAAAAAAACCTCAAAAACCAGATCTGCCTTTCTTTAGCTGATGTTATAATGTCCAACTCTTTCCTACCAACTTTAACCATTTCTTTCACTGCCCTCTCCATGAAGACACTGTGTTCTTTTCACTTATGCATGAAATGTATGACAGTTGTTGGCTGCACCAGTTGAGCCTATCTGGAAAATTAATCTACTACTTGGGATCAATCTTCTTTTGAACTTTGCTTCAATAATAATAAAACAAATAAAAGCAATAGCTTTTGGCATATGAACAAATATCCAGAAGATTCTTTAATACTGCTATAGTTTGGATCTTCAGTGTCCCCTAAAAGGCTCACGTGTTGAAGGCTTAGTCCCCAGGGCAGCACTATTAGGAAGTCTTTAGGTCACTGATGACAGGACTCCGAAGGGAAATGTGGAATCCCAGGCCCTCTTCACTCCCTTCCATCCTTCCTGACCATGAGGTGAGTGGATCTGTTCCACCATGTATGTGTACATGCTGTATCGCCTAACCACACACAGGGCCACAGCAATGAGGCCATGTGACCTTGGACTCTCCAAAAGTGGCAACAAAATAAACATTTTCTAAGTTGGTTATCTCAGGTATTTCATTATAGTAACAGAAAGCTGAATGACACAAGTAACACCTAGGCAAATGAAGGGTAACAATACTTCAGTTGGTTCAATACTTCATTTGATCCTCTCTTAATCCATTTTTTGGTATCTCTTATAGTTTATACATCACAGATTACTGGAGGCAATTGCCAATGAGTTCATACACTAATTCTACACCATTAATTTTCCCTATTGTGTTTATCCTCCCTACTTCCTCTTACAAAGACCTCATATTTCTCATATCCTTTTAAATTTATATTGAAAATGGCCTCACACTTTTGAGTGCATTGATAGTTGTTCTCAACTGCATACAACACAGAAGTCTAAAAGTAGACAAACAAAAGGCCTGGGAAATACTGACATCACTTTATCTCACCTAATCACCACATGTAGTTGTTTGATGCATGACTTTCATGAAGCTCTCAAATTACTCTGTTGTGCTTGCTTTAAAATTTTGATACAAATTCAGATTTAGAGGAAAGGTACTAAACTAGGTACCCTTCACTCAGATATTAACATTTATTATATTAGTGTTATACTCATTTCTGTGTGTATGTAAACAGACACACACATATTTTTACTTTGTGGCACTGGAGATCGAACCCAGGAGTACCCTACCACTGAGCTACACACCTTCTTTCTTTCTTTAAAGATGGTCTTGCTAGGCTGCTGAGGATGGCCTCAAACTTGTAATCATTCTGCCTCAGCCTCCTGAGTCACTGGAATTACAGTTATGTCCTGCTTCATACATACATGTATTTCTTATATATATTTTACTGTAGTTGATTTAAAAATTACTTACATCAAAATATGCAGCAAACATATCGTCAGATTCTGTAAACATATCAGGTGCTAAAAGTTTTTTCTGAGATGAACCTTTAAAAAAAAAAAAAGAAGCCTTAGTATTTGAAAGATGAAAACATACAAATTGAAATATGAGTCAATGGAAAGTCAGTTAATAGTAGTTAACTTTGGCCACTGTTAAGTTTAAGTAAGCAAGAGCTGAACAATTTTGTATTAAAGTGAAAGTATTCTTTTAAAAACAAACACCTTCCCACCCCCGCCAAACAAAAACTATTTTAAGGGGCTGGGTTGTAGGTCAGTGTAAAGCACTTGCCTAGCATGTGTGAGGCACTGGGTTTGATTCTCAGCATCACGTTAAAAAAAAAAAAAAAAAGTAAATAAATCCAATAAACATCTATCAACAACTAAAAAAATTAAAAAAAATATATTTTAAATTTGTACTTTAATAAATCCTCAAGGATTAATATCCCCACTACAGACAACATATCAATCTGTATATATTTGTTTCCTAAAAACATCCACAGAAAACTGCACAAAAATAAACCCCATGACCTCAGGAGGCTGAGGCAGGAGGATTATAAGTTCAAAGCCAACCTCAGCAACTTAGCAAGGCCCTAACCAACTTAGTGAGAACCTGGCCAAAATAAAAAATAAAAAAAGGGCTGGGGTGGCTCAGTGAAGTGCCTCTAGGTTCAATCCACAGTATTTAAAAAAATAATAAAATAAATAAAAGCAATAGCTTTTGGCATATGAACATATACCTAATTTCAATTACTATACAGAAATGTGAATTAATTAAAACTACAATGTGATATCAGTTCTCACCTATAATACTGGCCCAAAATCAAGAAGTATTAAAATAATTCGCCAAAAGGCTCTGGATAAATAAGCACTCAGACACTGCTTACGGGATGGCAAAACTGTACAACTCTTAAGAGCAGAGTTTGACAATAAATTGCAAAAGTACTCATGCACTCTTGTAACCCGCAATCCCACTTCTGGTGAACTAATGGAAAACAGTGGTCAAGCATTAAAAATGATTTAATGCACAATATTATTTTTTTTTAAATTTTTTATTGTTGGTTGTTCAAAATATTACAAATTTCTTGATATATCATATTTCACACTTTGATTGCACAATATTATTAATTAGTATCCACTGACAGCCACCTAGACACAAATATCCAGTGTTAGAAGACTGAATAAACTATGAAACATGCTCTAGAAAGAAATAAGGAAGACCATACAGATGTGTAGTTAGTATGCTTTTTTGTATGCGCAGACAGGATATAAAACACTCAAAGGTCTTAATAACTTAAAAAACAAAAAACAAACGTACTTTCTAAAGATCAAAAGCAAAAAGAAAAAACCTAAACCTAAAAAATTCCTAAACCTACCAAATTGGTGGCATAGCTATAAAGAGGAGAATTATTTTAAGAGATTTTAAAAACAAAGAATTATGACTATATACCTTAGGATATGGTATAAGGACAGAAAGAATAATTATTTAAATAATGATAATTCATACTCATGTCTCTAAAATTTAAATATAATAACCTATAAGTAACTATGCTATGCAAAACAAGGTTTTCATTGTAAGAGAAAAAAGAATACTAAAATCAAAAAGTTACCACATAAAGACTGGGTTAAATCAAACCCACTGTGGTTTCTGTATGGCCTGTTTTTACACTTTTGGGAGGGAAAGAGAAAAATCAAGAAGACTATTTTTGGGCAAATTTAAATTAAACAAAATTCAAATGTCACTGTACATAACAATATTTTTGCTTGTTTTGAACACAGCATGTCCACTGATCAGTGCATTGTCTGTGGCTGCTTTTTGCACTCCAAGAGCATAATTCAGAATATGGAAAAAAGAGGGCAGAGAAGTTTACAATGATGTATCTACTACTTGACTCCTTATACAAAGTTTGCTGGCCCTTGTTCTAGAAAGTAAGAAAGCTCTTTTAAATACTAAAACAGTTGATTCAGAAGGACATTTGAAATCTACTAAAAAGGGCTGCCTCCATACTCTGACTGAAGAGAAAATAACTTGAGCTTAAACAAATGAAAACCAAAGGGGGAAAACGGCTAAAGACTCAAACATATCAACAACAAAAACCAAAATGGTACTAACAATAAAAACCCACCAAAACTGACTGAATAGGGCTGGGGATGTGGCTCAAGTGGTAGCGTGCTCGCCTAGCATGCGTGAGGCACTGGGTTCGATTCTCAGCACCACATAAAAAGAAAATAAAGATATTGTGTCCACCTAAAACTAAAAAATAAATATTAAAAAAAAAACTGAATAAATACTAATGAATTTTCTCTGGAGGTTGCCAGGGCACTGTTTTTTATTATAAAAATTGGTCAATACACAGAAATAACCATACATTCATCCTGCTTTTCCTATATACAAACTGTATTCTGGAATAACCAAAAGTGGAAGTTTCTTTCATAGAAGAACTAAAATTTAACAATTAAAAAGAATGATAGAAAAAAAAAATCACCATATTGGAACCCCCGATGAAATAATGTACCTAAGTAATGATCAAGGACTGCTAAAATCATTAGGTAAACATCCAAAGGCAAACTATATTAAATAGATGTGGTTCGGTTCTCATTATCCTAACACATTCTTTCAATGGCAATAAAACAGGACAACTGTACACCACATGTGATACAACAGTACAACACTACTAATATAATATTTTTGCCAAAAAAAAATTAAACCTAAATCTACTGGTTTCTAATGTCAGCTATTAATTTTCAAGAAATACTGGCGTTAGAGGAGAAAAACAAAACAGGATTAGAAAGAAAGAACTACTAAAGCTGAAGAAAGGTTTAAGAGATATCTATCCCATATAATTGGATTTTGAGTCAAACCATCCAACTGTCAATAGTCACTGATAATAAATATTAAAAGATTATCCATTTCATTACATATACATATTCACCTGAAAATCAGCAAGCAGAACAGAAGGTGGCGAAAATGTGGGAGTTCAGTATACTATTTTTTGGGACATGTGAATGAATAAAGAAACATATATACAAAACATTCATTACAATATATCTAATATATTACTGTGATATAGTTAGCAGGAGCAACAATTCTATTCCTTTTCACTTTTCCTCAATCCCAAATCTCATTGAAAGTATGGTCTCTCTAAAAAGTTATACAGCTAAAAATTCAGAGAAATGCATGGCCAGGACAAAAATCTATTTTACTCACCATTATTCTGTTCAACAGTCATTAAATTATGCTTGGCTTTTACTGATGCCTCAAATGTATCAACGTTTTCCCGTTCATACTCTTTAACATCAGCAGCTACTCGCTCTAGGATGTCATCTGGAGAAGGTGATCGTGTTCTAGTACTGCTCTGGGGGCTGCTTGGTTCAGATGGTACAGACATATTGCTATCTTCAGCAAGGTATTTATATTTCTGTAATTAACAATATGACATATTTTCATGAAATTGGATGCTAAATGAATTTATTACTTAATTTGTTAAGAGTTGTTGCACTGAAAAGTTAACAGTGTCCATGTAAAACAACAATATTTATACCTTGGTTTAATCAGATCCACGATCCCTTATGTAATTTCAAAATTCAAAAGAATTCTCAAATTTGCCCCCTGCCTCTGTTTAGTGCACATTAATCATGTGGCAAAACCTGACCTGACCAGACCAGATGAGATGCTGTTTATCATCTTATTTATTCCCTCAGTGTAACCATCAGTACATCTCATTTTAGAAATACTAATGTAATAATCATGGGTCACTTCAGATGTCACTGAGGTGCTAAATGATATACACAGATGCACCATATTACCTTCCTAAAATGCAAAAATTTCTAAGTTCTGAAGCACCTCTGGCCCCAAGGACTGGAGATAAGGGCTATCATAGTAGCTCTCTTTTTGTCATCTGTCATGAGAGAAGGCGTTGTAGAAGGACTGAAGCCCACAAATGACCTACTGTACATAGCTTTATCTAAGGCTAGCCAACAAGAAACTAAGAGTTTTCTATGGTAGCAAATCTCATCAATGAAGGACTTTATCACGATCTGTGAATAACACCCTTTTCCCATTTAATTTTCTCCATCCCTCCAGTCTTCATCCATTTATTTTTTTGTTTGTTTGTTTTGCTTTGTGGTGCAGGGGATTGAATTCAGGGCCTTGTGTGTGCAAGGCAAGCACTGTACCAACTGAGCTATATCCCCAACCCTATATCACTCTAGTCTTAAAATTATTTTTCAAATGTTTCATAAACAACCACATTTGCACTAGAAAGCTTGCCATTACTTTATAGACATTAAAATGTTTGCTTTTACAGTTAAAGGCATTTATTTTTGCTAAATAAAATTCCTCTAATCTATTTAGAATTTATGTTCATTTTTAGAAAATGAAACCTCAAATTCTCATGTCTTACAAAGGAAGTTTATATCAAAATTCCATGTATAATAAAGAGAAACATCTATTTTAATAACTAAAGTAACTCCTTCAAGTCTCAATAAGTTTGTGTGCTTCTTTTCTGAAGACCTCTTCAGATGTCATTTCTTTATTAAAGTAAAAAATCTGCACTACAGCAGTGACTACTCAAGAGAACTGATTAAAAATAAATAAATAAATAAATAAAAATCACATACCTGGACAATTGCCTGCCTTTGTATTCTTCTCTGTTCTATTAGAGCTTCTTCATCTTCTTCCTCTACATCAAAATCTTCGAGGCTTAAAAAAAAAAAAAAACACCAAAAACGTTTTTCAAACATCCTTAAGATATTCTATAACTATAACTCTTTTCCGTCTTAATATTATAGCTGGAAAATGTCATTAAGAGCAAAAAAAGCCATAAGCCACATTACTTGTTTTTCAACTGTGTCAGTTTTCTGATATGGAATGCTAGTAATATACCTTTCCTGTCTATTTTCTTCTCACTTATTTCATGGTACCCAAACTGGGAACAAGAAAGATCCCTAATTTAGAAAAAGCACCACTGGCTCTTTCAGGGCTTTCTTTATTTTACCTCACTGATACTCAATTTTATCACCTATAACAAAGAGGTCTAGGACCTTTTCTGGGTCACAGAACCCTTTCAACGCTTATGAAGGTATTGGTCCCTTTCATATAAAAAATACACATGCAAACACTTGTTTGTAATCTGAAAGGTAATGTGACTCAATTATTGAATACTGTCCCTGGCCCTCCCTCCCTTCTTGTCCCTCCAAAGACCTCCTCCTCAGCTTTTTGATCCTTTTCAATGCAACTTTTCCATTATCCTAACTGCTAAATGTGCTGTGCAGACACAAAAGCCAACTGTTATGATGATATCAGGATCTATGTTGAGCACGCATTCCCTACCCAACTTTCTTAATTATCAAACTTTCATCAAGGTCTCTCAACCTTAGTGCTATTGTTTTTGGTATGGACAATTAATTTGTGGAGGATTAGCATGTGCACTGGAGGATGCAGTATCCCTGGCCTTCTGCCATTAGATAGCAATTGCCAAAATGTCTCCAAGGAAGTAAATAGCCCCTTTTGAAAACTACTGCACTAAATTGGTTTTATGTTTACGGTATTCCATTTAGACAACCAAGTGTGTGTTTTAAAACTTAGTTTCTGTTATTTTATTAGTCATTGAAAAGTTTCTCCATCTTTACATTGTAAAAGGTTGTTACCTGCCACCAGCTATCTCCAAATACCAAGCAGGCAACACTTAACATAAAATGAAATGTCATAAATTTCGTATAGCAATTTCTTCCCCAAAACTGGTAACTCAGATTGGCAGGACAAATATGTCTATTATTCCCAATAAAAATAAAGGGAAGACTCACAATAAAATGATGGCCCAGAATTCACAACAGCCAAAGTGGACATTTCTAAATTTGGAAAACCGTCACCTCCACCATAAATTTGCCCAATCATCACAAAAGGTTAACTTTTAACTCAGGAAAAAATGACTGATTCACTTAAAATAATCAAGTGGCCACTTAAATTTTCTAGTCAAACAGTTTCTCTAAACAGGAAAAATAAAATTATGGTTAAATTTTATTCTTACTTATCATCAGATGAAGACTCCTGCTCAACCTTCATTCCTTCAGAAAGACTTCCTTTAAATTTATCTTCCTTTACTTTGCTTCTGCTTCTTCGTCTGCGACCACCTCGTGATCGAGACCTCCTTCTCAAGCGTGATCTGCTCCTACGACCTCTGTCTCTATTTGAAGGTAAAGAAGATATATACATATTTTGAAAATGTCAAAATGGGGGAAGGCACATGTGTGGGGAGAAGAAATAAGAGAACTTTACTTTCTGCTCAATTTTATCATGAACCCCAAACTCTATAATCTACTTAAAAAAAAGGTAATTTAAGAAAAATAACAGTATCACAACAACATCAGTGTAACTAAACATAACAGAACTAGCTACTGTTCTCAGCAAACATTTTAAACTAAATTTTTTTTTTTCTCATGAACAAAGACTTGTATGTTAAGCTCTATGAGGAATAAATATGTTTCTTTGCATTCCTCCCCCCGACCCCCGTGCTAGGAATTGAACCCAGGACCTTTTGCATGCTAAGCAAGCACTTTAGCAATGAACTACATCCCCAGCCCCTCTTTGCATTCTTTTTTTTTGATGTTGAGAAACATAATATTTTAAAAGATGAAATACTCTAATACATGCAAAATAAAAACTTGAAACTGACATTGGGGTAACAACACTCTGTGGTGTAAACTAAAAAGCTAGAGGAAAATAATAATTAAAAAGAATTAATATAAAATATGCTCACAGTAGCTTTCCCCCATTTTTAAATCACCCAGCAAAGTAATATTCTTTCCACACTGAATATACTCCTAATTTAACGAGACTGCTTAAAAAAAAATTAACAAAAAAGGAATAAGAAAAAAAGAAATGAATCCATGACCTCCCTCCTGCCCAATTAATAACAAAATTCAGTTGATGAACGGAGGTGGGGGTGTAGGGGTTAAACCACAATCAGCAGATTACCAGTTTTCTGTTCCCCACTCCTATGTGGGCCTTCTGGGTTTGTGAGCTGTGTGCATGGCTCTGACTTCTGGAAGATTCCTCTTGGGCATTTAACATTGGGGCAGGGATGGGTGTTCACCTATGATTTCTTAGGTATAAATGGAGAGGGGCAGAAAATAAGTTTCTTCCTTTTAGCCTGGTGGTGGAAGAAGGGATGTGGGGGGTGGATTTGCTAATTCATAGAATTGGAATTCACTGGCAGTAAAGTCCTGAGCAAAGACTCTCTCTTAAAACCTGAGACAGCAGGGTACAGCCTTCAGACACGGTGCATGCCAAAGTCCTCAGCCTCACACTGTGGTCCCACATCTTAGCACCCCGTTGGGGTATTAGTGTCAGATCCCTGAGGCACTGGATTGGAAGCACTCAGGTCAATATCAAGCTCATGGAACCACCCAAGATGGCAGTCTGCCCCACCTTGGCCTCCGTGCTTACATCGGCCACGGACCCAGGAACTACAGCTCACTGGTAAAGCCCACCAGTGTTCTCCCTGCCTACACCAGGGGCCCACTGAAGAGCGCACAACGACTGCCTAGTAGTTAACTGGATGCCACCTTCCCCTTGCGTACACAGGCCAGCAGTGCTAATGCGCTAGTGCTCATGCACTTGACGCCCACCTTGAAGGTGAACAGTAGTACTGTGAATTGTCACTAGCCACTGCCATGGAGCACGAGCCCATCAGGAATTTGAGGTTGAGTGACAGGCCCTGTGACACCTCCAGCAGCAGCTTTAGTAATACCTGCTCCACCCCATGGCAACAGTGTGTCATTATTCGGTAGCGGTCCACCAGGCCTGGCTGAGCAGACTGCTGTGGCCATCACAGCCAGATAGGTTGTGTGGGCTGACCATTCGGTCAGCAACACTAACAGGTTGACCAGCTCTACTTGACTGTCTTGGTCTTTTCCAAAGTGGCCCATGTTACGCTGTTTCTGCACCACATGGGTAAAAATGGACAGCCCTTCACACATGCAATAGTGTCCTGGCACTACTCAAAGGACTTGCACCGGCACAAGAGGCAGGGCCCTAGAAAAGTACTATATTAGCCTTGCTTGACAGCAGAAGCAGGTCAGCTACCAGTCGTAACTTGCCCTCATAGTAGTAGCAGTCACCAGCTGCTTCTGTGGCTGTGAGCTGGCCCTAATGAAGGTGCTCTCAGGTGCTGGAGAGACAGCCTGGTTGGTGGGTTTTCCGGCGCTGGCGCTAGCCATCACGTGGGGATGAGGATGGGGTTGCACTGGCATGCCACTGGGGAATCTGCTACTACCAACTCTGCAACTCAGCTGGCCCTAGTGCCTTCCCCACACCATAAGGCCATCACCATCAAGGGCAGAAGGCACTATGCTATGGCAGCTGGAGCCTGGGCAGTGTGGGAGCAAACCTATGAGCCAGAGAACACTGGAGGCTCCTCTGGTCCTGAGGAAAGGCTGCGGCATAAGGCCTCCTAGAAAGCTTGTAGGAAGCATGAACCCCAGCAGAACAAACTCAGTCCATGATCCTCACTGTGGAGCTGCCAGGAAAAGTCTCTTCTTCTGGACATTGCCACCTTCTTGGTCATGGCATGGCCTGGCCGTGTAAGAAGAGAGGGCGGAACAGGGAAGCTGGGAATTGTCCTCCCTTCCCTCCTTCCTTTCTTTCAAATGAAAATCCTTTGGTCCAGGAGGTGCTCCGTCAGTGGCCAGTGGGTTGGGCTGTCAGCTGCTGTGACCCCGACAGGAGACACTTCTCCAGGAAGGCTCTGGAACACACAGCAGAACTGGGCACATCTTCTAACTCACTCTGTGGAAGAGGCGCCAGCAGTGGCTGCATGGTTGAGGGTGTGGCAGCGCTGTCCTGGCTGCATGGTGGGAGCGTGTACTGACTACACACAGTGGCTGCCCAGCTTGCACCTTTGCCTGCCTCACGCTAGCTTTTGGCGCAAGTCCATCCTGGTGCTCCACCTTCTTAGGCCCTGCAGCTTTTGATCTCTCTGGAAGCTGTGTGCATTGTGTCTACCCAATCAGAGGGTCCCTGTGTTGCTGTGGCCATCAGTAGGGTGCCAGGCTCCTGCCAACCACCAACTTCACCTGCTTTTCTCTCTGCGTCCCACTGAGTACCAGCCCGCTAGGACCACCGGAGGCTTCCCCTGCCTTTCTTTGTATTCTTATAGTACCAAGGTTGTGTGGTACACAGAAAGCTAATGATCCATACCAATGAATACAGTAAAAATGTTTTCCTCTGGTCTCATCAGTTGAATTGTATGATTACCAAAAGTCAACCCCATTCTCTAAGCTGTTTACGCTATTAATCATACTCATTTTTAACTACCTGATTAATTATGTAAGCTTATGAAAAATATAAAAAAGGTTTTCTAGGAAAACCAAGTTGAAACTATAGGAACAGAAAACACACAGCTGGTTACCCAGGGCTAGAATGAAGGAAAAGATTGACTACTAAGGGAGATGTTCTCTACCCTGTGACTGTATGTGCCTGCCAATACTCAACCTACACAAAAGAAGGTGACTTTTATTTTATACAAATTATGTTTTGGGGATGGGGTTGTGGCTCAGCAGTAGAGCACTCGCCTAGCACGTGTGAGGCAATGGGTTTGATCCTCAGCACCACATAAAAATAAATTAAATAAAGGTATTGTGACCAACTACACTTAAAAAATACATATTAAAAAATTGCATGTTTCAATAAACACAATATAAAGAGAATGTGAATACATGATTGCAGAGATGCCAAGAAAAATCATCAAATGTGCAAATTAGGTATTATTATTACCATCATTACTATTTTGGAGATAGAGTCCCACTATGTTGCCCAGGTTACCCTGGAACTCTTGATCCTTCCTTTTCAGCCTCCTGAGTAGCTGATATTATAGGTATGTGTCATCATGCCCAGCTTTGAAATGTGCAAACTGAATGGAAGAGTAACAAATCAAATAAAGTTGACCATGAGTTCAAACACACAAAGTAGGACAGAGACAAATCTGAGCATAACACTCTAAAGAGGCCAGGAACTCTGTAGACTCTAAAGGATGGAGTATGAGGTAAAAGTTGGAAATAATTGGTTGAAAGCCTATAGAAACAGATTCTTGTATATTCCCCTCCCCACTTCAGTGGAAAATGCCAAACACTCCCTTCATAATGTGACAGAATACTTAAGATACCTGCTGGGCACAGTGGCATGTACCTTTAATTCCAGTGATTGGAGAGGTTAAAGCAGAAGATTGCGAGTATGAGATCAGTTATCAACAACTTAGCAAGACCATGTCTCAAACAAACAACAGCAATAACAAGAACAACAACAAAAGGGCTGGGGGTATAGCTTATTAGTACAGTGTCCCTGGGTTCACTCCTTGGTACCAAAGCAGGGGTGGGAGATTTATTTTCTTGGGGCTGGTAATAGGGTTAGGGTTAGGTATACTCAGTGGTAGAGCACTTGCCTAGTACACAAAAGGCCTGGATTCAATCCCCACCACTAAAAAATAAAGAAACTTTTAAAAAGTTTACTTTGAGGTTGTTATAAAAATTGACACAAGACACTTGGTGGTGCTTTACCAAAAACAGAGGTGAAGAGAAAGTTTACATCATGAAGAACCAGAACTCTACTGTACCAGGTTTATATGTAGGATGTCAGAGAATTCTGAAAAACTTACTAGGCCCAGAGAAAAGACTGGTATTTAAAAAGTCTCTAGTTCCTAAAGTGATACCATGAAGTGGTACTCTCCAGTTGAAGACAATTTCCATTCAGCTTTTTAAGTGTCTAACTATGAAATTAGAACAGAAAACGCTGACTGATGCAGCTTTCTGAGAAAAGTCTTCAAATGAAAATGTGAACAAATAGCAAGAAAAGAGAGAAAGAGAGAGAGCCAGGCACAGTGGTGCATGCCTGTAATCCCAAGGCTGAGGCAGGAGGATTGCCAGCCTCAGCTACTTAGCAAGGCCCCAAAGCAACTTAGTGTGACCCTGTCTCAAAATATTAAAAAGGGCTGGGAATATGGTGTGGGAGACCAACCCTGCAAGTGACTGAGTCACCTCCCCTGCTGGGTGCTGAGGCGCTCAGTCACAGAAATGTGGTAGAGCTTTCCCTACCCTTCTTGGGTTCGAGGGTCGGTGTCTCATGCATGGGTGTGTCTTGCTACAGCCCCATGGGTGGAGCTATGCTCACCTGTTCCTTTGTATGTAATATAATCCCTTGCCCTGTTTAGGATAGAATCTTCCATGGAAGTGCCTTGTGTATGTCCCCTTCTCTTAATGTGCCCTTGGGTGTGACCTACCCAGGTGTCAGTCAACCTGCTGACAGTGGACATCATGAAGATAGACTCAGCCCCCTGAAAACTGACCCCTTGCCTCATTTGAATAGCTTCTCCTCAATAAAAGGGGTCAGCGCGTGCTCTCGCTCTCTCTCTTCCTGCGGACCCGTAAGGTCAGAGGAGCCGTCACAGCGACCCAAAAGAAAAAGGTATTTGTGTCTCTTGTGTGGTTATTTTGCACAGCTCAATTAGCCCAGTTTATCTGGAGTGACCCCTGAGCCTTTTAGTCACGAGAACAGAAACCTGGCAATATGGCTTAATGGTTAAATGCCAGGTTAAAAAACAAAAACAAACCCCAAACAAACAAAAAACAAGACATTTATTATAAATTTAAAGATGAAGAAAGAAAAAAAGCACCCAGGAATCAGAATTAGGCTCTAAAGGGCAATACTGAAAACTAGAGATCAATAGAATGATTTAAAGATTCTCAAAGAATGACTTCAACCAGGAATTCTATTCCTTTCTAAATCAGCAATGAGAATAAAAGGTACTTTTTAGATAAAGGCTCCAAAAAAATGTCCCTTCTATGTGCTCACAAAGCTATTAAAGATGGGTTATCAAAACACAGGAATGATTAGAAAAAGATCACACGGGAGTCACATGAAATAAAGAGGGAATACCAAGAGGATGGCAGAAGGAAAGCAATACAAGGATAACTGTATTAGCAGTCATAGAGAATGATGTGGAGAAGTCAACACGAGAATTAGAAGAAAGGTCCCCTCTTCTCTCCTCCCACCACTATTTGCTCAGCAGGGAACAATCAACACAGGATAATGCTTACACTGACTCTTTTTTTTTTTTTTTTTTAATATTTATTTTTAGTTTTTCGGTGGACACAACATCTTTGTTTGTATGTGGTGCTGAGGATCGAACCCGGGCTGCACGCATGCCAGGCGAGCGCGCTACCGCTTGAGCCACATCCCCAGCCCCTACACTGACTCTTAAAGCATACAAAATACAATAAAATTGTGTGGAAGATAATTAATTATGCGTAAGGGTGGTATTAAAAAGCCCTCACTGTCCGAAAGTACTCTCAGACCATGTATTTCTACATCCAGGAATATAGTATACAAAAATTTTCAGAGATATGTAAATACAAGCCTTGGATATGTTGTCTTTAAATCATATTCAATCAAAAATATTATAAGATTGGCAAGTGAATGTTCATTTATGGTTTAATGTACATATGCATTTAAAAACATGATTCCCTACTTTAAAAACATTCTTTTTGATTAACTACATGTATGTTAGAAAAAAATGGTTTTCTAACAGTGAATTACATAGGTTTTTGACCAAGACTCCTCAGGAGTCAATTATACATAATAATTATAAAAACAAACTTCAGGTACTTATTTACCACCCCCTGAGCCTGTCAGCTAAAACACCAAGATCTTTAAACCTAGCTCATTTAGTATTTAGCTCTCTTTAAAAAAAGGGAAAGTCCTACTTTTAAAAAAAATATATATATATTTTTTGGTGGTGCTGGGGATTGAACCCAGGACATTGTGCATGCAAGGCAAGCACTTTACCAACCAAGCTATATCCTCAGCCCTTAAAAGACTGAATTTTTAATGAACAATGATTTGATGGGAAACTATATTAAAGACAAATTAATGTTTATGAAACATCACATTCTGGCAAACACAAAATATGGGATCTCAGCTAAAAATTTTCAGAGAAAAATGCTCTATAGGAAAACTTAACTGAGCTAAATGGAGCTTCAAAACATTCAAAGGTTAATTGATCAGTAATAACGTATGTAATTAATTATATTTACCTTCTCCGAGGAGACCTGCTTCTTCTTCTCGGAGATCTGCTACGTCTAAGTGGGGAGCGCGACCTTCGTCTAATGGGAGATCTACTTGTTCTTCTTCGGGTTGGAGACCACCTATTAATAGGGCTGGCATCTTTTGATCTTTCACGTCTACTGAGGATATCATCTCGAGGTCGTGTTCTTAAGGGGAAAAAATGCAAGTTAACAGAATAACAAATCGACCTAAAAGAATCTGTTCTACATATAAAGAATATTTTAAGACATCAATCTAATGATAATGATACAAACTGATGTGTTTTAAATAAAAACTTAAATTCAATTGAGGACCACAATGACATTTTGGTATTATGAAACACTCAATAAAAGTCTGTTTGCTAGGCCTCACAATTTGAAGAATGTTAAAGCCTATCCATACTCATAAAGCCATTGATTACAATTTCAAATTAACAACTCAAACAAAAGTTTCCTAAATGGGTAATATCATTCCATTTCCTCAGTTGGAAGTTTATTTCTATAACGTGACATTTCTGCAGTTAAAAATTTTACCTTTAATATCAATTTTGTATAATAGTATCTTACAATGGTAAACCTCAAAATTGAGGAAATACCTCAGCCTCTCCTATGCAAAATCAACTTTCTCGTAAGTTTTAGTCTGTTCAACATGATATCAATGTTATTATAAGCCTTTCTGCAACTTCATTTTTTTGGGTTTTGAACATTTCTTTCAGATTTGCATAGAACTAGTCAATCCAAACAATCAGGACAACTTGTAAATAGGTTTGTCTTCACAAGTAATAACATTATAGTATTTCCCCCTGGATAAAAACATGAAAACACAACCTGCCTTACGTGTTTGGACATGGTATACAGAACCTAAAAGAATCTTTTTTTGATCTAGCCAAAACAAGCAAAGTAGACTTTGATTCAGAAATGCAGTACTTCTTGATAGGGCCATCTGTGAAAAATTGTTTTTCATATATATTCTGTTTACACACTCTTTTCAAAGACCAGTTAAAAACTGTAAATGATAGGATAAGAATATAGCAGTCAGGGAGAATTATTTGCTTAAATGCAATGAAAATAAAAATGCTTAACCTCTATTGATAGGGCATTCAAATTTAAAATGTCCCCTCCCCTTTTTAAGGTGACAAACTGGTAATTATATGATTTCTTAGTTAATAAGGGTTTGGAGAAAAGGACTGTCTGCATAGTCTTGGAAGCAGAAGGCGGTTTAACTTTCCTGAAAGGAAATTTGGCAGTAAGACTTTCTAAAATGTAAATGCACACACCAGGAGACTTTGCAAGTCAACTTCTCAGAATCATTTGCTGAAGCTTCACACATAAGCCATGAAGATCTTTGCACACAACAGTGAAAAACGTGAATCAATCTAAATTTTCATCAGTTTCAACAAAACTGGATACTTTGGGTACATATACCCTGTGAAATACATACCATGTTGTTATAAAGAATTAAAAAGATTCTATATGTAATGTCACTGAAGTATTCATAAAAGAATACTATGTTAATGTATGTTAATGTAAATAATTACTCCATTTTTATAAGAAAACACTTATATTTGCATAGAAAACGGGTTAGAAGGCACAAAATTGTTGGAGTGGTTATAGAAGGATGGAGGAGAGAACTTATGGGTTTCTGCATTATTTGAATTTCTCTTTAGCACATATAACTTTTGTAATTAAAAGCATTTTGTCTGTTTCAAATACACAGGTCTGGTATTGAATTGCCTCTTCAAACTGAAAGACTATCAGGATAACTAAGAAACACTTTCAATACGACAATCGACAATCAACAAGACTAATACGTGCTTCAACACAAAAAGTTAAAGGGAGGCTATTTCATTAAAACATACCACTTAGAAGTGAAGAGCAAAGAATCAAAAGTATCTCTAAAAGCACTGTGAAAACAACACTTGAAATTTCTGAGAATGTGATGACGTAAACTCTAAAATTATACTGATACCCATACAATAAAAAACTAATATGAATATAGTAAATGGCTAGGAATTAATATTCTTATAAGCTAACATTTTCCTAATAAGCAAACCTTTGCCAGCAAGTGTATACAGTTACTGACTATATAGCAGATAATAATAAAACCAGTTTCTAAAGTAGTTCAGAATGGTCTGAATCTCCCTACACACATCCCCAAATTTAGTTCTGTGATCCTATAATCACATAGCTTCTGATTCTACCTCATTTAAAAATTTGATCTAATCTTCCATCCCCACCAAATGAGTTTTAGATAATCTCATGAAGACTCAGTAGTTAAATTACGTGGATTTAAATGAATGACCTAGCAAATTAGATACTAAATTAAACCAAGAATTTGGAAAAAAAAATACCCAATCTCACTGTCAAAAGCATAAATGTTAATGACAGGACTAGATTATAAAATCATGAACTCACGATTCCCTCATTTTTAACTATCCTTAAGTTCTACTTTCCATTTAAGATACAGCATATCGGTAAAAAGCATTAATATTTTGTAAAGACATTACCTCGGAGAAGAAAGTCGTCTTCTTTCGGGTTCTCTTCGTTTTCTTTCTAAGGATCGGCTCTTGGCTCTTCTACCCGGAGACAGAGTTCGAGAAGGTGATTTGCTTTGCTTAGATCTTCTATCATTTAGAAGTGGAGATCTACTTCTTCTTGATTTTTCACGTTGTTTTGGAGTCAAACTTCTTCTTTTAGGACTACGACCAGGTCTTCTACTGGGTGACCTATTTTCTTTCCCAGAAGAAGCATCTTTAGAGGGAGATTTAATTGGCTTCTTTTCTTTATCAGTTTCAGACCTTTTTGATTTTCTGTCTTTGGATCGCGACCTTCTGTCTTTGGATTTACCTCGTAAGTCAACTGGGGATCTGGATTTTTTACCTCGATCACGACTTCTACTTTCATTTATAATTGGGGATTTTTTCCTATCTTTTGTCTTACTTTTATCTTCAATTTTAATCTTCTCATCATTAGGAGATCTGGCCTTCCCAATTTTCTCTTGAGATCGCCTTCTAAGGGTAGGGGATTTTGATTTTCTTGCTTGATCTTGAGACTTACTTCTCTTGGATGGACTTTTGGACTTCTTCCTTTCCTTTGACTTGCTCCTAGTTATTTTCTCTTTAATTATTTCAATACCTCCCTTACTTTTCTTTTTATCTGACCTATGTCTAGTCCGTTCTTTGGATCTGCTTTTACTTCTTTTTTTTGTACTATTTTTATTGTCCACAAGTTCAAGTTTACCTTTTGCACTTGAAGATCTAGTACTAGATCTATTTCCATTTCTTGCCTTTTCATGAATCTCCCCTTCTTCTTCAGAGCCAGACTCATAACCTTGTAAAATGAGCCCCATCCCAGACTGGACCTTTCCTTCCATTAACTCATTGTCAAGTTCAGCTTTAATCAAGGCTCTCTGTTTTTCCAAGTCTTCAAGCAAAGCTAAATCATCAAGTTTAGTTCTTTTTGCTGGGGACATACCTTCTTTGTCAGAAGCATCAATAACTTCTTTTCTTTTGTGTTTCTTATGTTTATGTTTATGTTTATGTTTTTTATCCTTGTCTTCTTCTGAGGAATGTTTATGTTTCTTATGTTTACTTCTGTGTTTATGTTTCTTTTTTTTGTGACGACTGTGCTTATTTTGAGATTGGTCTTCTGATACTTCTCCATTTTCTTCATTTATACTCTTTTCAGAATTATCAGCATCTTCCAGCCTGTAAATGCAAGAAACATATTTTATTTCTCTATTTTTTCTTTAACTTGTTGCTCATGGTTGCATCCACAAAGTATTAGAGCAAACAAATAATGGGGTAGATTGGGAGACAAATCTCCTTTTCCAACTTGAAGTTCAGAAAACTTCCTCTATAATAAATCTAGCAGGTCATTTGTTTTGAGCATATTTCACCCAATCAACCCTTGCACATCCTGAAAAAAATATCTCGAGCCAATAATGAGCTGCTCCCAAAATAAACAATCAATGTACACTGCTGATGTTGGCAGTATAATATCCCCAAGGGTTAAAACTTCAAAGAAAACTAACCAGGAGTGAGGACTCTTGACCTTAGCTGCCACAAAGCAACTATGTGACATTAAAGAACATTTTACAAATCAACTACACTTTAGTTTAAGCAATTTTATATGGTTTGACTCAATATTTGTTCAAATTATTTAATCTTTCTGATTTCCAAATGAGACATTGGTTTCTCAAACTATGTTCATATTATCAGGTGCTATGCAAAACCAAAACAAAGCCAAGGGAAATTTTGTGCTTACATGTTTGAATTGTACTGGGTTTAAGAGTTTGATTCTAAATTTATTATGCCCACAGTGCTTAGTAATTCCAGGTTAACTACATGGTTCAACAGTATTACAGATGCTCTTTGACTTATGATGGGGTTATGCCCTGATAAGCCCACCCTAAATTCAAAACATTCTTTTTATAAAATATAACTAACACACCAACCCTACTAAATGCTATACTTAACTTTCCCCTTTAAAGTGATTCCATAATAAATCATATCCTAAAATAAGATCCAAAACAAAACTTTAAACTGGATTCAGGACATCACACTATTTTTAGAGGAAGATATGGATTATTTTGTCAAGGCTTCAAATGATATATTCTGTTATAGTTTGAATCGGCAATGTCTTCCAAGGGCTCACATGTTGAAGATTTGGTTCCCAGCTGCTGGTGCTACTGGGAGGTAGGGGAAACTTTGGGAGGTAGGCTGAGTTGGAGGAATTAGATCACTGGGGGAATGCCTTTGAAGGGTTTATTTTGTCCCCAGCAACTCTCTGTCCCTCCTGGCAGCCTCAAGGTAAGCAGGTTTGTCCACCTCACCCTCCACCCCAAGTCACAGGGAGGGGCCAAGTGATCCCAGACTGAAAACTCTGTACCAATGAGCCAAAATTGTTTTAAGAGCTCACAAGCTTATTCAGCAATCCTTGAGTTTTTTTTTTTTTTTTTTGGCAGGGGGTGGGAGGTGATACTGGGGATTGAACCCAGTGGCAAGCTATATCCCTGTCTCAAGAAAATTTAGGCAGCGTCTAAGTTGCCCACTCTGGCTTTGAACTTGTGATCCTTTTAACTCAGACAGCTGAGAAGCTGGGATTACAAGGTATGCACTACTGAGCCAACTTGTAGTAAAAAAAAAAAAAAAAGTAGGCATTAAGCTAGGTATCAGGTAAACAATAATATACAAAACAATAATATACAAAACCATAATACACTGAGGGACTGCAATGATGAAGGCACAAATAAAGGCATTAGTGGGGAAACACTGAAGGATCACTTAAACTCATTTTTAGAAATAGTCAGGGGTGTATTTTGTAGATCACAGAAAAGAAACCCAAAGTGATTTATTAAGTAGGGACTTTGAAGAAAGAGAAAAGCTGTTAACTGAGAAGAAATGTGGATTTAAAAATAAAAGCTAAGTATCACTGTTCTAAAAAAAAGTGAATTAAAAAGAATTTCAGAGAGAAAAGTTGCAAAAAACTTAATCATACACAGCAAACTACAAACAGATCAATGTGACTAGGACATCAGACTTGTGGAAGAACATGGTCTAAGAGAAGCCAAGATCTCCAAGTTGATCAATTCCAGGAGACAAAATAAGTTGATTTTGGGAGTGAGAGGTTGAGACAGAACTAAAGGCTCTCTAGAGTCGCAGAGGCCCAGGAACTGCAAGACTAGGCAGCTGGTGGGATTGTTTATTAAGGCACTGACATTTCTGAGAATTACAGCAGGAGTTAGGTATAGAGTGTGGTTCTCCAGTCAGGTCTCAGTCTTCAATAAACATGGGGTGGCTGTAAAGGTGTGGAAAATGGAGATATGACTGAGAAGTTATTAGATGACAATGGGGGAGTGCAGTGGAGAACACACAGCCACCACCAGACATCAAATGCAAAGAACTTTTATTCTTTGCCAATCTCCATCTTTGGTACCAGAATATAGGAAAGCAAACAGTAGTGACAGATATGCAGAGGAAGCTGTGTCCTATGATAAAACATCAGGTTTTAACCTGGGCCAACTCTAATGGAGTATGAGAAAATAAAGGAGAAATACTAGTGTTCTCTGGATCATCATTTTTTCCTCAAAGACCTGGAAAAAGAAAATGCAGTACACACAACAACAAAACGCCAACACTGCTCTTTTACAGAAGAAAAAAGAATCAAAGATGAGTAGAAGATCCAGAAACATTTCAACTTTGTTCCTGATACAGGATACACAGCCATCCATCTCCTTTCCCCAGAAATCTCTTATCCTACAATCCAGAAGATGGGGTATATGTCTTTTTTCCTAAACCTTGACTTACAGGGGAAATGTCTGAAAATATTAGACTAATTCAAATTATGGAGAAACTTTTTAGAGATCAAGAATGGTTGTCAGGCACATAATTCTAGTCACTAAGCTTGAAATCAAACTACCTAGATACTCTCCAAATGTCCTCCAGATAAAAGATAGCTGAGAAGATTAAACAGTCTCTAGAGCCAAAATGCCTAGGTTAAAATCTTAGTTCTAAAACTTACTAATTGTGAGGCTTTGGTAAGGATCAATCCTTAGGTATCTCATTTATGAATTGCAGAAAATAACAGTATCTATCTAAAATGGTATTGTGAGGTTTACAATCCTACTTAATATGAACTCCAAAGTGTTACAAAAGCAAGCTGATATAAGTGAGTAGACACTGGATACATACATTTATTTATTCACATAACTATGTGGAGCAGACAAGGCAGTTACTCTGAATGTTATAAGTTATCAAAGAACATGGATTCTATAGTCAAACTACCTGGTTAAAAATGTTCTAACATGACATAACTGTTGTAACCTTAGGTAAGTTGCTTCTCTATGATTCATTGTCCTCAATTGTGAAAACTGGGGAAATAATACTACAGATAAATCAATTTTGCTGCAACAAGAAACATTCACACTATAAAAGGTTGTCAAACTAAGTACTCAAGAAATGTCTTTTCACATGACAGATATGACTTTGCGGTTTTGAGAAGGTTTAAGGGACTTGTCTAAGGTCACACATACAACAACCCAGTTAGAAGGCTTATTCTGCCAGTCAGAAGCTCCACCAATTGATTGAAAATGCTTTTAAAATGTCAGATTATGTTGCTACTCTTCATATAACTTAATGCTTATCTTATTCACAGTAAAACTAAAATCCTTTGTGAGGCCTTATCCTACTGCCCCACCTCCCCAAGTCTTGAATCTACTACTCCCCTCATGCATTCATCCTGTCAAACTGCTTTACTTGAACAAAAAGTATTTTCTCACCTCAGGGCCTTGGTACTTGTACTTGCCGTTGTCTCCTTCCAGCAATGCTTTCCTCAGATACAAGTATGACCTGTTCCTTTTGTCTACCCAGGTATCTGCTGAAATGTTACTTTCTCAGTTAAGTCTGCCCAACTCCATTTTGGTTGCAGTTCCCATCCCACACATACTCCCTTTCTGTGCTTAAATTTTCTCTACAATAACCACCACCATTCCTAATCTACTTCTTGATGGATACTCTTTTCTTCAGAATTTTTGATCTACTTAGTTCATTGCTCTATCCCTAGAACCTAGAAGATGATTTAACCTACAGCAGGTACTCTAGAACAACCTGCAAAAGCTATATTCACCAAACTAAAGCTGTTTTTTACTTTAACAAACTCCTTGAAAGCTAAGATTTTGCTCTTGTTAAGTTATATCAGCAGTTTCTCAGGTCTGCCCAACCCCAACCTCAGAATGCAGATATAATACATGTTCACCTATTTAATGTAGAATACTAAACTGATTTATATAGTCACCCCTTCCCCAAAGAAAAGTTTGCTTTTTGATCTTTTTTTTAATGCTTTCTACAGTTAATTTACAAAAGTCTTAGTTGATTTCAATTCAAAATTCTTAAAAAGTTTGCCCATAGAGAGAAAGGTAGAAATTTAGTTCCTAGTGCTTCTGGGAATCAGGATTTATATCATGATGCCCCTCTCCATAAGAACAATTTCCATCAGTGACCTCAGTTTCTACTGTAATTTATTGAATATTATTATGTCAAAAAATAATGAAATGTCTCTCCATGTGATAGATGAGGTTTCCAAGTTCCAGGAGGTTGAAGGACTACCTTTGTTAACCATAATAATCAATCCTAGCATTCTCTTGTATTGGCCTATGCATATGGCAAACTGTCGCCCTCCTCATTTGATCTCTTAAAGCAAATTTCATAGAAAACAAGAATTACACTCTGTGTTTAAGTGCTTGCTTGCTTAGAATGCACAATGCCCTGGTTTCCATTCCTTTTTCCAGTTCCACAAAAAAGGTAGTCTGAATTCAGCATGACAGTGGCATGGCATATTATATACAATGAGCTTGTGCTAAGGCAGCTGAATCAGGCTCATTATCAACAATTTTCTTCTAAAGTCTTGGGAAAAGTTCCCTTGTTAAGAAAACTGATGGTCTTGGACATTAACACTGACAATATCCACTATATAAATTCCACAAAATAAATTTATGCTTTGTATTTACATTTTCCAATTAAACTTTAAACACTTAGCAGGTGGATATGCATACCAACCTGTCCACAACAGGTCTGGCATAAAACAAATACTTATTGAGAACTTATTAAGTTCTAGGTAATATACTTTGAATCACATCATTTGAGAGTAAAGATGAATTGGAAGTGCAGACAATATTGGGGTATTTTAACAGTATTTAAGCTTTATCCAATAAAAACAGTGATGGAACAATTTCAAAATAACAAAGTACTAACTACCAAATCATTGTTTTTATTTTTACTTCCCCTTTCACATGTATTTTCTAGAGATTAGTGTTAATGAATTATCTGGGAAGCATTCAATTCAGCTTTGGAAACACACAGAACTCATTAATTCTGTGCATAAATGGAACAGTTTTTAAGCTTGAAAATTTTTCTTAAAAATGTTTTTAATGGTAAACAAAGTGAAGGCCACAGTTTAAAAAAAAAAGAAAAAACAAGTAATTAAATCTGTTTCTCTGACAAAATGAAACACCTCTGATTCAGAATTAATACTGATGTAATCCCAAAGACCAGTCTTAACACAAACACCTCTTGCAAATCAAGTTTCGGAATCTAAGTTTCATTAAGTTAGAAATGTCACAGCAAAAAATCATTTTTGGCTTGGGATGCAGGTCAGTAGAGGAGGATATTGTTTAATAGGCACTAAGACCCTGTTTTTAATGCCCAGCACCACCTGCCACCTTTCCTATGGATCTTTCTGAGACACTGACAAGAAGTAAAAATGATGTGAAAACCTTAAAGGTAATTTTAAAAGGAGCCACAATGTATAATGGAAGGCCAGACAATACAATAACTAGGAACAGTGTTTTAGAACCAGACTGCCAAGGTTTAAATGAGTTTGTTGCTTGGTGTGACTTAGGGCAAGTTACTCTGTGCTCCAGTTTCATCATCTGTAAAAACATGGAAAATAACAGTATCTACTCTCATTTAGGTTTTACATGAATTAAATAAGTTTGTTCAATGCTTTGAGGAACATCTTTGGTTTATGCAAATAAGTTTAAAAAGCTTGAATTTAAGAGTCTAACAATGTAAAAGCCACTACTTAAAAAACCTTTGAGTTAACCCCTTCTTTGTATTTATTCATTCTAAATTTTCCATTTTGAATACATTTCATTAACTATAAAACTGTTTAGATGCTATACCTGAACACTCACCATGATCACCAAGCATAGTAGGTGCTTTCACATCAAAATGTTATTTTAACTATTTTCAAATTAGTGAAAGTAGGACACATATAGACTAAATATTTCATTTACACAAAGCATTATGTATAGAAGGTAGGGGAAACCCAAAACTACCTCAGCTTATTTACAGTGCAAGGGACTAAACAAAGGGTATATATTATTAAAATCAAGTATTATTCAAATATGTAAATGAAATATAGCTGACTCACTCCTCAAAATGCTATACAGCATAAGATTTGTATTCTAATTGTGCCACAGTTTACTCGTTGAAAAACAACAAGAAGCTGTAAGTCTAGTTAAAACTTTTAGAGTCCGTTTTTTCTCTGCTAAGTCATATTATGGGGGCAAAATGCAATTTTCAAATGCCTGGAATAAAATAGTTCAATTCTCCATCTAGCTGAGAAAATCAAGTGACTAAGGAGCCCAGAACTGGCTGCACAGCAAAGAAGTGTCAGATTGTTTGGTGGCAAAACTTTCCCCCTTCGCAAGTTGCTGGAAGGGTATACCTACCTCTTTCCTAAGATGGATGGAAACAAATAATATAGATGCAAAAGAGGGTTGCTACAGGAATATTGTTTTAAAATCCACTCTTTTAGGTTCTTGTTTTAAGTTTTCCCAGTATAAACATGAAAAAATACTGCTTTTAGTTAAGCAACGATTTGCTTAAGTATGTTTTCACACGGTTGCAAGGATTCTTACACTAGCTTAACTACAGAAGTACAGTTCAGTTTGTAAGCAGTTAGCTGCAAATCCCACTCTTCTTTCATTCGTCCCCCTAAAGAGAGGCTCTAAAATCCGGCAAAAACAAAAACAAAATAACAAACCCCCAAACCAAAAAGCAGGCCTCGATCTTACTTTGCCTCAAGTTTGCAAGTTGCCAATAGGCAGGGGAAGAAAAAAACAAAACCGAGGTGGCTGCTGCAATAAAAGTTCTGGGTAGAGAGAGAAGGTTTAAGGCTAGCCAGGGCCAGTTCTGGGACGGTCAATGAGTGCGACCCTAGCACCCCTTTCTCGATCCTTTTAGGTCCTAAAACTGACAGAAGTAGGACGAGGCGAGGAACTATATGCGGAAGAAAAGACTGAAGGTTTGCCCCGCCTGACTCCACTGCCCCTCGAGTCCCCAACACCATGCCGCCGAGTGCTCAGACAGGAGACCTAGGCTCTGTCCCCGGGAGAGGAGTCGGAAGGCGCGACCTCAGAGCCTTGGCAGCCGCCACACGCACCGGACCTGTAGAGGCCGCTCGCGCCTTCGCCTCCCGGGGCAACGACGCGCGACAGGCCGCGGCCGCCTTTGCCCCAACAGCCGCGGCCTCTGGGAAAGCGAAGCTCGAAGGCCGCCAGCCTTGCTCTCCACGCCTCCCGCCCCACAACGAATCACTCGCAGAAACGCAAAGTTTGGCTCTCGCCGTTTAGGCCTGAACTTTCCCGCCGGTCCGTGCAGGTCTCCACGGTTTCCCACTCCGCGGCTCCCCGGGTTCCGGCCTCCAGCCCACTAACAGAGACTACTTACTCTGGCTGCTCCCGCAGCAACTGAGTCTCCGCGGCAGCCATCTTGAACTTCCTGACTCCTCGGCGGCACTAGCGGCGGTTCCCCGGACGGTGGAAGCTAGTGGAAGTGGAAATGGGGGGGTGAAAAAAAGCCGTAGCGCATGTGCAACGCGCGAAGGGGAAAGCGGTACTCTTAACTCCGCGCTAAGAATCCGGATATAAAACCCTACATCCGGGGACGGAGTACGGAGCGTCGTGACGTAACTTCCGGGCCCGTGGGGGCGGTGCCCGTTGAAACTAAAGGCGAGTGATATGCTGGGCTTGAACTGCGGTCAATGTTGTAACGGAGCAGTTCTGGGAACTTGCTGGCGAGGGAAACAAAGGGAGTGGGTTATTTTCGTGTGCGCGGTTCCGAGAGCTGGTTCACTATGGGCCCAAAGTTGGGTGAATAAATAATATTTTTGTCTCTTCCTTGTTGCTGTTTGATTAGTGGAGGGCTCATAGGCCGGTTTTACTTTTCTCAACCATGATGTGAATTATCTCCCAGGTCCCCTTTTGGTCTTAGAAATGTTTAATTTGGAGACTAAGCATCCTGATAGGACAGGATAAGTGGGGGAGAAGAACAAGCACACAAGTTTATATTTGATGCTAGATTGTGATTTTGAAGCCAGTTCCAGACTTCCTCAAACCAAAATTTTAAAGAAGAAAAAACATGTAAGAACATACTGGCTAAAAACTTTCTTTAAAACTTCCTCACCAACTATAGTTGCTTGGTAATACCACTTGGGCGAGTGAAATGCGAAGATTTCAGGGACTCCCCCAAAACTACGTTGCTTTTTTGTTTTTGAAAAGTTTTTTTTTTTTTAAGCCAGAGTTAAAAGTAAACATCAACTTAATTTATTAATTCATCAAACGTTTACAAGCGACAGACTTATGCCCAGCATTCTATTCTTGCATTTCTTTCGGAACTCAGGAACACGTGTACCCGAAAGCAACCCCCCGTAGGCGCCGTTTAAGCCGGCCGGCGAGGAAGGAACAGACAGCTCAGCGGCGGAAATAGACCCCCGGAAGCCTTCCGAGGTCTAGGGAGGCGCATGCGTGCTAGCGTCCTTGGGCCGGCGTGGACGGATCTGATGTGCCGCGGGACTTACGGTTCCGGCTGTGCCCCCCTGCTGTCGCGGAGCGCTTCCTGCTTCTTTCCGTTGGTGCCAGCGCGGCCCGCCGCCTACCCAATGCCTTTTCTCTCGCGCGCGGAGTTCCCGGCCCGTACTCTTCTACCCCTCAGGGCAGCGGCGCACTTGCCACCGTCTCAGTGAGGCTGTTTTTCCGCAGTCGCCTGTCGGCACCGAGTAGTAGGTGGGTGTTAACAGCCCTGGCCCGGGGTTCTGTCTGGCAGACTCGGCTGGACCCCACCGCCTCCTGTGTGATAAAGCCGAGACCAGCCCTGTTTGCTAACAGAGACCATGGAAACCACAGCACTTGGCGCCCCGTCGTCGACAAACAATACAAAAAATTTACTGGCTTGGAGATAAGGTGTTGGGGACACGCGTGCATTTGTGAACATGTCGATTTTTTTTTTTCCTACCGTCTTTGCTTGCTTCCTTTTAAGCATTATTCCAAACGATGCACAAAACAGAAATAATTTGAAAATATTTTTAATTGTGTTCCTCGCGTGGAAAGGGATTAAATTTGCATCCTCTGAGATACGTTGCCATCATCAACTTCAATAAGCCCTCGATAGGCTCATTTAGTTTGTAACAAAGGCTACAAACTAAAATAACGAATATCATAAAATCCTTTGAAGAAATGTATTGGCCCATCTATAGTCTCCAGATGTCAATTAAAAGACTGTAGATCCCTATTTAGATAATACCTTAACCTGTCTAGTTTAGACCTAGTCCTAAAATTAGGAGCTATTTGCGTGGACACGCTGGACTGTTTCTCCTTTATTACAAAATATTAACACGGATTTTTTTCTTTAGTCCATAAGGATGTAATTTAGCTTTATGTTTTTGAAGCAGGTCTGGTGCAATTATGAAGATCATACAAAGCAAAAGGAAAAAACCCACCCTCCATTCCTCACATTGAACCAACATTAATATGTTCGCTTGTTTGGCTTTTTTTCATATGAAATATTAAATTGTCTTGCTTTCATGTAAAACGTGACAGTCTGCTTTTACGTGTAAAGTGTTCAACTTTTATGTAATTCTGGTTTCAAGAAAACATTTTTTTATATCTTCACCATTTCCCTTATTACTAGATTTCCAGATTGTTTCAGTTTTGCAATATTGCATATTAACGTTTGGAGTTACTCTTTCTCACTGTTATGCATATATATTAGTGATTTTTTTAAATAGGCTTATATTTTAAATTTGGCTTCTTGCTGAGGGCAGCAAATACTCCAGTATAATGACAGTAGGGTGATTAAGAGAGTAGGAAAGCTAGAAAGAGAGCTTGTGGAATTTGAATTGCATTAAAAATTGCTGGACAGTAAGTTGAGGGGGAGGAGTGACGGATGTGATTTAATTTGTCTTAGAATGTTCACTTGGCTGCTTTCTGGAGAGAAACTCTGGAGGGTCAGAGGAGGAAAGGAGGAATCCAATTAGAAAGTATTTTAGTAATTCCAGTGAGAGATGATGTTTGCTTAGACCAGTGTCTAAAAGGGAAAAAGTGTTTTGATGCTTACGTATTTTGAAGGTATAGGTTATTATTGTATGTGGGATGTCAGAGAAAGCAACTTAAAATGTTTTTCTTTTATTCATTTTTTTACCACTGGGGATTGAATTCAGGAGCACTTTATCACTGAGCTACATCCTCAGTTTCTTTTAATTTTTTATTTTGAGAGAGTTGTTGTTTAGGGCCTGGCTAAATTGCTGAGGCTGGCCTCCAACTTGCAATCCTCCTGCCTCATCCTCCCAAGTTGCTGGGAGTACAGGTGTGGGCCACCATGCCTGGTTGCAACTTTAATTTTTGGCTTGAGCAATTGGATGGATGCAATTTCTATTTAACTGAGATAGACTAAAAGAGAACATTTTGGGTGAGGGGACACTTCAGTCATGTTTTGTGTTGCAGAATCTATTAGAAGTCTAATTGAAAATTTGATCTTTCGACTATTGTTACTGAGGAATCTATTTGTCTTTTCATTTTTTTTTTTTTGCTATAAATACAGTATCTTGATTCTCTGTTATTAGGTGTGTATATGCTTATGAATGTTATGTCTTCCTTGTGAGGTGATCCTTTTATTATAAAATGTACCTATTGTAAAGGTCGGGCGAACGTCGGAGGAAAAGACCACCAAGAGACTGTCTCATGCAACAGCAAAGGGTTTATTGGGGATCCAGCATGCTGGGGCTCAGAGCTCACTTCAGAGGAGCAAAGAACCAAGAGCCCCGAGAACAACTTAAGCAGAGTTTATATACATTCTTTGGAGTGGGCAGGAACTTTACATACATCATAGCATCCCTTAGCAAATCATCACATACTGCGGGAAAATCAAATAACAACTCTAAAACATGATTAGCACATTCACTGCGGGAACAGGTCAGGTGGGGGTGATTGGTCAGTACTAAGAAGGGGTATACATTCAAACTGATTGGTTTAAGCCCTGAGGTGTATATGTGCTGGACTGCACGGTTTCTGGGAGGGGGTTGTTAAGCAACTAGGTGGTCAGGGGAGATTTCGACACACATCTAATGGGCAGTTCCGGGAATTGTTTTACTGCCACATGAATTTCAGGTTCTGAATGCAACTTAAAAACTTTACAAACCTTATCCTTTACATTTCAATTTCTTTGTCCTTTCACTATGTTTCTCTATAATATTTTTGTATTTTAAAGTTAGTTTGTCTGAACCTAGTACAGCCATTCCAGCTTCCTTTGTAACGATTTGTACAGTTGATTCAAAAGTGTGTCTCCTTTAGAAATCATCATGTTGGATATTAGCTTTTTGTAAAAAACGTAGTCTAACAGTCTCAGCCTTTTGACTTGATTGTTTGATCCAATCACATTTAATATTACTATTATATAGTTGGTTTTATGTCTGTCATCCTCGTTTTGTTTTCTGTATGTTTTTATGTCTTTTTTGCTGTTGTTCCTCTGTCCCTCCTTTATTCTTTCTTTTGCATCCAGTGAATATTTTCTAATGTAGCATTTTAATTTCTTTAGTGATTTTTTTCAATGTTTTTTTCCTAGTTATTGACTTTATGGTTGCTCTTGTGACTTAATGGTTGCTCCTGCTTTTTGTGGTATAAGTCTTCCAAGCCCAACAATGCATTTATTTTAGTTATTGCTGTATATTTTTTTAAGACAATGAAAGAACAAAGGAGAGCAAGTGTATATTTGTAGTTTTTGTTATATTTCTCTTACTTATCATTTTAGTTCTGTTCATTTCTTGTTTTTACGGACTTAGGTTACCATATTGAATCATTTCTTGAACTCAATACAGCTTCACTCCTACCCATCTCATTTAGGCTATTATTTAGAAAGTATGTTACATTTCTTTATGTCTTAGGCCTAACAAAACATTTGTATAAATGTTGCTTTATAATTGCTTTTTATTTAGGTATACATTTTTATACAATTTTATCAAGATATAATTTATAAAATCATCCAATTTAAGTATATGTCTCAGTGACTTTTTAACAAATTTATATTTGTCAGTTATCACTAGAGTTTCCCCAGTTTTATTAATATATAAGTGACAAAATTATATATGAGATGTATAATGTGATATTTTAATATATGTGAAATAATTGCTTCAAAAATGAATCATTCATATCCATCATCTTAATTTGCTTGCTTGCTTGCTTTCTCTATTCCCTGCTTCCTTTTTCTTGTCTTTATGACTATTCCTTTTTTTTGAAGAGGAGAGTACTTAAGATCTACTCTCTTTCATTTGCAAAACATTAGAAAATATATTGTTATTAACTATAGTCACCCTGCTGTACATTAGGTCTCTAGGACTTATTCTTAAAACTGCAAGTTTTTACCCTTTGACCAATATGCCTGCATTAACCCTACCTTTAACCCCTGCTAACCATCATTCTACTCTGCATTTCTGTGATTTTGACTTTATTTTAGAATCCATATATCAATAAGAGCATGTGGTATTTATCTTTTTGTCTCTGCCTTATTTTACGTAGCAAAAATATCTTTCTGTTTCATTCATGTTGTCACAAATGGCAGGACTTCCTTT